CACAGAGACACAGAGACACAGAGACACAGAGACACAGAGACACAGAGACACAGAGACACAGAGACACAGACACAGAGACACGGAGACACGGAGACACACGACACAGAGACACAGAGACACAGAGACACAGAGACACAGAGACACAGAGACACAGAGACACAGAGACACAGAGACACAGAGACACAGAGACACAGAGACACAGAGACACAGAGACACAGAGACACAGAGACACAGAGACACACAGACACAGAGACACACAGACACACAGACACACAGACACACAGACACACAGACACAGACACAGACACAGACAGACACACAGACACAGACACAGACACAGACAGACAGACAGACAGACAGACAGACAAAGAAACAGATACCAGAGACAGAGAGACCAACAGACAAAGAGAGACAGAGAAAGACACCGGCAGAGAGACAAAAAGAGACACACCTCCGGCGCGCAGCACACACAAACAAACAAACAGACAAACAGACAAACAAACAAACAGACGAACAGACAAACAAAAAGACAGAGACAAAGACACAGACAAAGACAAAGACAAAAACAAACACAGAGACAAAGACAGCCACAGACACAAACACAGACACACAGACACAGACACAGACACACAGACAAAGACACAAAGACACAGACACAGAGCACACAGACACAGACACACAGACACAGACAGACAGACACAAACAGACAGACTCAGAGACACAGACAGACACAGACAGACACAGACACAGACAGACACAGCACAGACAGACACAGCACAGACAGACACAGACAGACAGACAGACAAAGAAACAGATACCAGAGACAGAGAGACCAACAGACAAAGAGAGACAGAGAAAGACACGGACAGAGAGACAGAGACAAAAAGAGACACACCTCCGGCGCGCAGCGCCGCGCGCCGGATTCTGATGTCGACATGCCACAGGCTTCGCCTGCGCACGTGCACGCGTCCGACTCCGAGCCCGAGAGCCGTGATGCAGACGGGCTGCAAGAACGCGCGTGCGAGCTCTCGGCTGCGCGTGCCCCAGTTGCACGCGGCCGCTGGCCGCTTGTCCCCTGGCGCCCTCGCCCAGTGGAGCGAGCCAGTGGGAAACGGTTTGTCACGCGCTTGTCTCGGCGCTGCCCCGCCGCTCCCGCGGCCAGGAGGTGGTTGCAGGACTGGGCACCCCGGGTTGCTACCGGCCCGGTTTGGATTGGTAGTTTGGATCGGCGTTTTGGAGGTTAGGGGGTGGTTTCCCATTCAACTTCAACATGATCCAGGGGTTCAATCCCCAAACCACCACTCCAAACCAGCAATTAGGGGTAAGTTGAGGCGGGTGCCAAAAAGGGCCAAGCTCTCAGGGGCCAAGATCTTATAGAGCCCACGCCGGCAAGACATTTTTTGCAACTCAGGCGCCAACATATTTTATCATCTCATACGTATCAAAAAATGTATACTCGTCGCATGCGAAAAGCATGCTGCCGTTCTCCAAACACAGGTCGCGAGACGCAATGAGGGCCGGGCTGGTCGCGATAAGGTCACGCCAAAGAGTCAGTGAAAGGCGGTCGCCTGAGCAAGGTGAGAGCGGATCCGCGGGCTGTTGGCCTCAAAAGATCCATCCACGCACGCAGTTGAAGCGAAAACGCGACCGACCAGAAAACATCCTGGGTGCAAGCAAAGCAGAACTGATTTTGCTCAAAGCATAGGGAAAAGCGCCACTGGTCGCAACAATCGGCCGCGGCTCACAGCTTCTCGCATCGCCAAACTCTCGGAATGCCCCGACTCTTTATCTGGAAGACACAACGGCTTCGTTCAACGGCTACGGATGGGGAGATATATGCCTAGACTCTTGATCTAGAAGACACAACGACTTCGTTCAAAGTCCGGACCATTTTTCCGAAATATCCCGGATATTTCGATAGTCGCACTCCAGACCATTTTTCCGAAATATTCCGGATATTTCGACGATAGCATTTCCCGAAATATTTGGAATATTTCGGGAAAATGGTTCTTAAAATATTCGGAATATTTTAAGAAAATGGTGGATGGCTGCGATTCCCGGACCGTTTTCCCGAAATATCTAGAATATTTCGGGAAATTGGTCCCCACAAAAAATGAAGCCACTATGTCTTCCGCACATATGCCCGGGGTAGCCCGGACAGATTTGGGCGAGCGATCCGTAGGAATTATGAAGCGGTTACATCTTCCCGGGGCAGTCCGGACCAATTTTCCGAAATATCCGGGATTTTTCGGAAAAGCGGTCCGGGAAAACGCGCGCAAGTGCGACGAGCAAGTTTCACGGTTTCGTTTTATAGAGTAAATATATTAATATATTAATAAAATATAAATGTATATATATAGATATTATAAAAAAATATATATTATACAATATTTTATTTAATTATTTTAATTTCAATTATAATTTGAATTTTTGTATAATTTAAAAAAATATATATATTTTATTTTAATAATTTAATATCAAAATTATTCAAAATTCTGTAATTAAAATCTATAAATAAAAATAACTTATTAAGTAATAATAAAAACATATATATTAATATTACTAATTATTACTAGTATAATTATTATAATATTAAAAAAAAACAATGAAAATATATCTAAATTTATAACATATATATTATATTTAAACCAAATTAAAATTATAACATCATAAAAACAAACATATAAATAAAATAATCATCAATATATTCAATAAAATCATAATTTTTCGTAAGTCAAAACAAAAAAAATATCATAATTTCCAAAATTGAGTTTAGCACGTTCTATGCAACCAGAACAAGCAGAGTTCGGCGTTCTCGATATATTATATTTATATATTTGTATACAAATATATTGACACGGTGATAAACATGTTTCATAAATATGAAAACAAGGCACATATATCTCAACGGCACATGTGTAACATAGTTCCTTGGAAAAACAACACGTATTTCTACATCACCTTTGGCGAGACCATCAGCGTCTCCACGAAAACAACGTAACGGCTGAGGTTGCAGCTGATCCAACACAGGAAGACCTTCTAGTTTCTTTCAACACCGTACGGGTGCTTTGGCTGTGTCTTTTGAAGATACCCTTTGTTGGGTTGCTCTTCTCTGCTCTGGGCTACTTGTTGGATAGGGTTCAAAGGGAAACCACATGGACACCTCGGCTCACTGTGACCACCCACACCTTCAATCTGGATCAGCTGCAGTGAAACAAGCATGGCAGCCGCCAAAAACTGGCAGAGTGTTCTACTAAGACTAAGATCAATTCCCAGCCCGAATCCTTCAATAAACCCATACATGAGCCTTGCCACTGTTCGGAGTAGATGATTCCGTGCAATGTGGCCGGGCAACGGCTACCGAGACTTGCCCTTTATCTCAACCGGGCTGGGGCATGCAGACAATTCCTACCATGTTAGAGAGAAAACTCTCTCCTTGGACTACCCCCAGGTCCTTTGCTCCTAGGTCCTCCAGTAGAGAGGTTTGAATAAGTTGGTACCCGACTTTTTTTCTGTAGTCTATTTTCGCAGGGGTACCCTCCCCCCCAAAACGGGTTAAGAAGGGCAATTTTAGGGGGCTGCCTTCCAGCCATCTGGCGATCTGCTCACCGCGCGCAGGTGGTGATGCCCTTGGAGGGGACCACCTCGGACCTCAGGTCCCGACTCGACGGGTCCGTCTTGAGCTAATTCCCTGCTTGTGTGTTTGTTTGCTTGTTCGTTTCTCTACTTCTTTGTTTGTTCCTTTGCTTGTTGGCTTGTTTCTTTGTGATACTTCGGCATTAGTTTCTGCCATTGATGATGCTTGCGGGAAGCGTTGTGCGGAGCTGATGGTTGGATCCAGACTCGTACACCATGAAGTATAACTACATGAACATGGCTACCATTGTTCCACTTGCCCTCGTTGACATGTTTTTACAGAATAGTTGCAAGCATTGGATTTTGGCTGAGTCGACATGATGCCACCATGTGTGATTGTCACCTGGACATCTGCTTGATTCCACATTTGACAAACGGTGAAAGTAGTAAGACAAGGAAGGACGTCAGCATGCCGATAAATTGGTTGCTTCACAAAAGACTCGCTTGCCCAAAGCTCCTAAGCTTTCAACATAGGGACTATTTGCCCACATGTTTTGCCCTCTACATGGGCCGAGTGTTGGTGTATGTTGCCTACAGGCGCGCTGTTCATCATCGCTTTGAAACAATGCATGGACTCTGCTTGCACGGTGCTTCCTTGATACACACGCCAAAATGCTCGGCAGCTGAAGTACATGTCAGGCACAAACATGAAAGACCAGAGAGTACACGACAATAGACATCAACAAGCCTGGTGAGGGTCCATTGACATAGAGTGCAAACGGGTGCTCCAACAATCAAGTAGGTAACTGTGGGAATGCTCTGTTTACACCGTTGCAACACACATGGCTGTGGGTCAAAAAATGGGTATCCCAAATGCAACCCTGGTAAATGGAACCAACAACTAAAACCTGCGGTCCCCTGATGGTTTTATTTTGACCCATACCCATATCTCGAAGCGGGATGAAAGGCTTTCGAAGCTGGTTGAGGGGTTTGCGCTGGAGAAAATGAGTCAGGCACTCAGGCATGTAGAGAATGCACCAGGCGTTGCCGTCCATCCGGCATGGTACTACTCTAAAGAGTCCTTTGCTGGCTGGTGTCAGACGCACTTAGATGAACAGCAAAACACACAGCAGCCACAGCAACGCAATGTTGAGAGTGTCAAACTCGTGGCAGCCTAGTGGTCCGTCTGCGCTGTCCCCCCCCCTTTTACCGGGATGGAAGTACTGCCCAAAATATCGATAACATGGAATCCAATGTATGCAATACGAAGCAATCAATGCATAATTCTTGGGCTCTGGGCAAAAGCATCTGAATCTTCAGCTTGTCTCGGAAGGACCCCCAAATTGGTGGCTTTCAAGTGGCCTCGTTTTGGAACCATGAATCGATAAGGCTCTTTCAAGGACACCTCCAAAAACCTCAAGGGACTTCGCACAACATCCACCGGATACATCGCAGCCGTCAAGGAAGCCTGTTGCACAGCCTTCACCGGACGACACCCCAACCACTCGCGGGGCACACCTACCCAGGGTTCCGTTTTTTGATTACCCCAAATTCGACTTAAACCCAGGGGTGGTTGATTTCCCCAAAAGGGAAACCCGGGAGTCTCCTTGCATTAGTCAAGCGGAACCCTGCACCTACCAACTCCAGGATTTTAGTCACCGGGCCTTGGGGTCGCCATTCGCTTCATGCCGGGCGGCAGCTCTGCACCGCAAAGCCCCACCAGGCCGTTGCCGATGCTCTGGTCCCGGACCCGGCAAGACACCTGGCCCATCAACATATACGCCGGACGTACACGTGTGTGTGTGTGGTGCGTCTACGTAGCAACACCACTACGCGTACCTACATGTGGAAAAAAATACGACCCAAGATGGGGTGCGGCACAATAGGCCCATTTGGAAACTAGTTGTTGTCTCAGTGCCCCAGGTCCAAGTTATCTTCTTTTGGGCACTTTTGAGGTTTGGAGGGGAAACCAAAGGGACATCGCTGCTCATGGTTTGGGCCTTGGTAACCCGTAGTTGCACTGCGATGCTGACCAAACAGCCGGCGGTGACATGCTTGAACCGGAATCTAAACTCATAGCCGGCGCAGCAAACAAAACATAGGGCCTTGCTTTTCTGATTGGTTGATACGAGGTTGCAACGGAAAGAACTGGATTCCAAAGCCACAAATTCCCCTAAGTGCGGAACTTTCTTCACGGGCTGAGGTCGACCCTCATGAGGTCAGTAGTCTCCCAAATGATATCCGCTTTGATTCCGAACGGCAAATCGGCCGGGTTTGGTAAAACATCTTCAAGCAATGTTTTGGATCGGGGGTATGGATCGGGGGTATGGATCATGTGTGGGCCCGGACCCTTGATCCATACCTTATTTTTTGAGCCGCAGCCACATACCATCCAAATAAAACAAACGGTAGCTCGAAGGGAAATCACGGGGTCCAAGGTCAACGTCTCGTCACTCCAGGCCTCGGATGTTGACAGCAATGCAACCCCTGGTAGATTGAATGGGTGTGAGAGACTGCGCTAAAATATACGGCCATGGGTCAAAATCCAAATCGTAGCCCCAGTGAACATCCCAATCCCGACTAAAATAGACCAAAATGGGTTGTGCACCCACCCCAAAATGGGATCCCATTGGTTTTGACCCACAGCCATACAAGCACACCAACATTCAGGCTGCCATGCCGTGGGTCTGTGCTTGTTCGCCGCTGTTGCTTGTGTTTTGGACGATACAAATCAAACATGGAACAAACGAATCAACCAACCAGGGTTTCTGGAACCAAGCATATGTTTTTGGAATCAACCAACCACATGGCTTTTGTGTTTTTGGAACCAAGCATACGGCAAGCTATGGTTTTTCTTCGCACTTTTTCCCCCGACCAGATTGGACCACTCTAGTCCATTGGCACTCCATGAACTTTGGCCACTCGCTGGTTGTCCAGCCATAGGACACCAGGTTTGAATTCTTTCTGGTCGGGAGCACTTGTTAGCCATCCAACTGAAACAAAGCAACGGACAAGCACTGATAACCCCAAATTAAATCAACTCGGTGGATTTACAGAATTGTGTTCTTCCCGCAAAAAAAGTGAAGGTTTGCCAAACAATTATGGCATGCCCCCGATAAATCGACCAAGGGTTCATTCATCCGGGGTTCTCCTTTATCCATGTCGCCGGCGTCGCTTGCTTGCCTCACGCCCGTTGAAGCCATACTTGGCCATCTCCCCGGCGTTGCCGAGGTGGTCGTCAAAGAAATAGACCTCCGGAAAATGGGCTGGAAGCGGTTCAGGAACAGTTTCCAAATGGATGGTAGCTTTAAAGACGGAGATTGGGCACCAAAGACAGCTTGGCTCAGAATTCCCTGACAATATTGAACATATTGAACAACTTGAACACATTGACACCTTATTGAACATATTGAGTATATTGAACAATATATATATATATATAATACATATATATAAATATATTGAGCAACATATTGAACAACTTGACAATACCTGTGTGCCACTCGTGCCTCGACGCGCAGTACACGTACGCAAAATGCTTTTTGTCGAGCCAAAGGAACCCGCACCAACATGGCACCTGGGGACAATGGTCATTCGCAAGTCGATTCCGCGGTAAAAATACCAAACAAACAACGGTTTCCTGTGGTTTCAAAGACTTTGTGCAGCTCTATGGGGATCCCCCTCAAATGTCACAGGCCCAGGCCACTTTCGCCACAAGCTGAGCCATGATCGATGGTCAATGAAAGGGTCGTTGATGTCCTGCAACTTGGCAAAGAAGGCAATGCACATCGTCCAAGGTTCACCTTGTCACCCGGAGTAATCGCACATTGAACAATTGGAGACTCAATAAACCCACCGCACACAGAGAAATTCCAGCAGCCTCTGCCAAAAAGGCAAACAATCCGATTTCGGAGCCTCTTGGCTCGTGCCCAAAGGGCATTGATATAAAAACCTCGGGCTTTGTGGGCCTTTGACTCAGGCTAACCAGAAACCGAAAAACTAAAATTCGGCAAAAAAAGGGTTACCCTCCCACCAACAAAGATGAGAGTACACAAACCTCATGTTTGAAAGGAAAGTTGTCTTCCGAAAGGGGTCCGTGCACGTCCACGCTGTTGCAGGCAGGGTCGATTCGACTCGACCTGCCTCGGAGCTGGGGATGTTTGCGTTGTGGCCATCCGGGCTGTTGAGCCTCACATGGGGATCGGCCAGCCTTGGGCATGTTTTACGGGGAGCCGCAAGGAAACCATGTTGGGCTCGTTTGAGACAACATGAATCTGGTCGTACAGAAACGACAACAGTCAGCCACAGCAGGCATTGCTTTTGGCTTCGAGTTGGCCTATGCACAACATAGCTGCTTAAAACAAACAAAACTTAGCCAACACAAACATGCTCGATTAAGGCTAGCTTTGCTTTGGCATCCTTAAGTTTCTCAAATTGCGGCTGTGGTGTCTGCGTATTTGGGGAGTAACGCTTATTGGCAAGCGCATGCTGCTTTCGACTGTACTCGATATGCAAGCTTGACAAACAAACATAAACACTCTGCAATGACCAACACCGTAATCCACTGAAAGACTGAAGCCGGACCGACAGATCCAATCCAGTCAGAGAGCCCAAATCTAGGCTGCTGCCTGCTGTGAGAATCGTTGGCGCCATGTCTTTCCGCCTTCGGGGCGCCTGGCAAAACTGCCATTGGAAGCTTGCCCTTTTGTGGGGAGCAACCATCTTTCTCATGTGGCTACGTGTGCCCCGGATAAATCAATCTGGCAGATTCAGGAGCGGTCTTTTGCAAGCAACATCCACTCTCAAATGGGTGGCACGCCCCATATTGATCAAGGGCTTGGCTTATTGATCCTAAGTGCCCACCCTGAAATAAGAAATTGAGAATTCTTCATGGGGGTGAATCGCTCGCAAACCCGACATATGAACTGGGCTGGCCTCAGATCCCTTACGAAAAAAAAAAGAAAAGAAGAGCAAACGAGCTCATAGTGGGGAAAACGGACCCCCCCCAAAAAAAACCTGAATAGTGAAAAACCTAAGGGGACGGCTGGGAACGGCCAAGTGAAGTCGCAATGTTGTTTGCCGATAGGGACCCCAACCAGTCGCAAGAAATTGTGCACATTGATCCGGGCTTCACACATTCTCAAAAGCTGCCCGTTAATTGGTGGTTTGGAATGTTGGTTTGGATGTTAGGTGGTATCTTCCTTTCAGCAGTGGTTCAAATTTCCAAACCAATCGAAACCACAGGTTGAGCGGAACATGATGGACACACGCACAAACACGCACAAACACGCAACCAACCAACCAACCAACCAACCAACCAAGCAAGCAAGCAAGCAAGCAAGCAAGCAAGCAAGCAAGCAAGCAAGCAAGCAAGCAACCAACCAAGTAACCAATCAACCAACCAACCAAGTAACCAACCAACCAACCAACCAACCAACCAACCAAGCAAGCAAGCAAGCAAGCAAGCAAGCAAGCAAGCAAGCAACCAACCAACCAACCAACCAACCACCCCCCAAAAAAAAAACGCGCGCTCTTTCCTTTTAGTTATCCCGCTTCCTTTCCAACCAGCCCCAGCCCCCACACCAGCCGAAGTGCCAGTCGAAGATCTTCTTGGCCGCCTCACCCTGAGTTCGAACGGGCGGGTGAGGCGGGGGAGGCGCTTCTTTGGTGTACCCCCCAACTTTTTCTGTGTATTTTTTAGGGATCTTGGTGTATTTGTGGGGTCGTTGTTTCGTTGGTTTGGTTTGGGGGTTTGGAACTCTTTGCTTTTTGTTGGGTCGTTGCTTTTCGGTTTTGGCTTGGGCACCCCCCGCCCCCGGTTTGTTGCAAAGGGAACAAATAAACAACGTTGAACGGACACCAAGGGAAATGGTTCGATCAAGGATACTCGGTTTGGGGCTGGACGAGTTTAGAGCACCCTCATTTTGCCTGGTTTTGTTTGCGGTTGCTTTGGTGGGTTGGCCTTGCTTGGGGTTGGTTGAATTTAGAATATCCCGGGCTTCGTTAAAATGCTTTTGGCCTACTACATGTGTGAGTATTCCAAAAACCCGGAACCCGAGCGAGTTCTGGCTGCTTGCTTGGCTTGCTTGCTTCCTTGCTTGCCTGCTTGCAACCAATGGCCACCATTCCTTGGGTCGCAATGGAATGGATTGCTTTGTTGTCTCGAGGGGTGAAATGGGACCAGGGAGTTGGCAAAATCTGTGCGCTGGTTCCAAAACCCCGGAACCTCAATCAATCGGATCGCTTCATTGATTTCAATGCAACCCATGAGCCACTTGATACTCAACGTCCGTCACTGGAATTTAGGGAAACCCTATTCCCCGTGGTAATTTGGGGTTTGTGTGCTTGTTAACTGGGAGAATGTGAATCGGTCCCGTTGCACAACATGCATTTCTCAAGCCTGCTGGTGCACTTTTGTCTTGCCTTGAGCGACCCCACCAAAAGGGTGCAAAACAACAAAAAACAATATCACCTGGACGTCTATGTCCACCAGCCCATGTTTGATTGTGTTCCAACCAGTCAAGAAGTCAAGATTGGCGAAAGGGGAAATCCGGAAAAAAACACCACCTGTTGTTTTTTGTTTCCGTTCTTTGCCGGTCCAAATCCAAATCCCCCCGATTTTCCCACACCCAGCACTGACTCGCCTTGTTGGGATCTGGCGTAAAGACCATCTTCAGGGTCCACACCTTGTCATTGATCTGCGCGTACTCGCCTCAGAGCTGGCGCCATCCCTTCCCGATTTTCGCGCCGGCGGAAAGGGGGGGCCTTGATTCGAGAACCTGGCGTTTCCTTCTGACCCAAAAGAAACATGGTTGGTCATTGCCCAAAGAAAGGGGTCATGACCCCATTTATAAAAAAACATGGAGACTCCAGGTACAAGCGAAGAATTGTATATGCAGCACTTGCGAAAAGGAAATTATGCGCAAACCCCGAAACTAACGTAAGGTGGTGGAAACATTTGAATAGTGCTGCTCTCTCAAAATCCACCATTTGTGCATTACAACAAGCTGCGCACCAAATGCACCATGGAATAGGAAACACAGATTCTTCCATGGCATTCGGGTTACAAGAACGTAGCTCAGTGGACCCTGGAAGCCCGTCGCAAACAACATTTCTGGATGCGCACAATCCATGGCTTGGACGTGCAAAAACCCATTTGGGGGGATGCGCCAAATCCCTTTTTGGAGGTGCCAAATCCCTTTTTAGAGGCTCGAAATCGATTTCTGGAGGTACTGCTTGGAAATATGAGTCCAAAAAGTCAAAGTCTAAAGATCCAACCCAATAGCAGTAGAGACTGGAGGTTCTAAATTCATTCTAAGTCCAAGGTCCGAAATGCATTTTTTGGAGGTATTGGAGGTCCTAAATTCAAAAGTCCCAAGGCCCATTCTTCCCTTTCGCTGGGCCACCACGCCAAAGGTCTGGCCCCCCACCTTGCCTGGAGAACTCGCGTGGAGCCTGTCCTCGGTCCAAAGGCTGGCGGTTGCCCGTGGATCATTCCCCACCAAAAGGCAGGTGGACCAGGGGGTTCGGCAACTTACTTCCATCATGTCGTGGTTCTTTAGCCCTTGATGCAGTGGATGGTTGCGAAATGCATTTCGCACCACCTACGAGTCTCCTGAACGATGATTTCCCTATAAATACAGGCCGGCTGAGGGAATGCCGTGGATTGACTCCACTTATTGGTTGCACAGGGTTCGGCCAACCCATGAACCACTTATATCCGTTTACTTAAGTCGACTCGAAAAGAACATACTGTGGACGGTTGCGAATTGCATTTTTCACAATCCAAGAGCCTCCGGAACGATGATTTCCCTATACCAAACAAACAACGGTTTGCCATGTGTTCAAAGTGGTGCAGATGTTCGTCCATCCACAGTATGTCGGCGTGCATCAAAAATAAGTATCCGACGTGGAACCCTGGCAAACGAAAAGAAGGACTAAAACCTGCGGTCCCCTGGTTCAATTTTGACCCACACCCATATAATTGTTGGAGTCATGTTGTTGTCCAAACCTGACCCTATCTCGAATGAACAAATGCAAAGATCTGCTCAATCAAGGACTCAGCTCGCGTTGACCCAAATCTAGAAGGAACTCGCCACTCATCTGAGGAGCTTGCATAGAGTACCTGCTTCTCATCGTCGCCGCTTGCCTCGCAACTGCTTCTCATTTTGCCTGCATTTTGAAACTGTGTGACATCTGAGTTACAATCAAAACCCGGTATTAAAATGGTTGATCCAGAAACATGTAAGGAAATACAAAGGCGGCCGCAGCTATTTATGGCTGGGATTGTCCCTTACTAACCTTCACTTACCCGGGTTTGATTGTGGCTCATCTGTTGTTAAGCTCGGAAATTGCCTTGCCTTGGGTCGGCAGTAAACTCATTGAACCAATGAGCGCTTTGTGGATGCATGGCAACAGAAGCCAATAAAGGACAACAGTGCTGCGCAAGATACCTACATGGCCACACAAATGTTGTCGAATGCCTTTTGCGCTTCACCGAGGGCGTTGTGGGACCCGGCGGAAGTTCTTCTCAAAGGACTGATTGATGACCAACCCTCGGCAATCCGCAATTGCAAGACTCCATACATCACGAGACTGTGGCACCAGCTGTTCCTTTCAAAGGCCAGGACTGCGTATTGTGTGCACATTGAAGAGACACGGCTTTGGTCAAGTGCACCGTTCGGGCTTAAACACAAATCACCCCAAAGAAACCATGAGCGATAAACTGCCCTGCTATCACGCGCATGGTGGCTGAGTGGGGCCATGGTCAACACGCACACAGCAAAAAAAAAAGTGAGAGTGTACATGCCCTTGTCCTGGCCCAAACGGCTATTGCTCGAGCGGGCTTCAACTATTTTACGCACATTCCACAAAAGGTGTGCTCTTAGGAGCTAGCTCCAGTATCTCCAGCTTCCTATCCAGATCCAAAAATGGGCATCCTCAATCAACTAGACTCTAGACTAATCATAGTTCTCGACACCAGCTTGTCAAAATTATATGCAACTAGTTGTACTAAATTTGAATGTATAGAAACATGCATATTATAGACACACGCATGCACACAAGGTATTATTCTGGTATAAACTATTGATGGCTTTGCCGCAAATGCTGCCAAGGAAGAAAGGGCCGTGCGATGGGTAGGGAATGAGAAATGGAATGAACCCAGGCTTTGGTCCCCTTCAAGGAAGCCACCAGTTGGATGTTTAGTGTAGGGCTCATGAGCCACTTCTCATTCCCCGATTTCGCAGCACCAAGATTAAAAACATCATGTTCATTCCCCGCTGAGGGTTCGCGCGCCGCCAGCGGAGATCACCCCTTGCGAGGCGCGCGAGGCGCCGAGGTGATCTTCAAAACGCGGAAAAAACAAAAAAACGGGAAACAAATATATCCGGGGCTTGGTGCGAAATCGGCAAGGGCCCTGAGTAATGGATGAGCTCCGAACTAAACCATCCGACGGGTGGTTTTCTTTAAGGGGAACGCCTGGATTCATTCCCTCATTCCCTACTAAGCACAAGCAAGTTGAAACAGATCCCCCAAAAGGAGTTTCATCCAGAGCTGGCGCTCAGAGATCAACGAAGATATGTGCTGAACACTGTTGATTTCTGTAAAGGGCACGTGATACACGGGTAGCAGTCTCCAAGAAAGCTCTAGGTGTCCTGCAACAGCTCCGATATTTAACTGCCCAAGTTCTCTTCACAAATTGTAAGTCCACCTAGCAGAATCCTTGGTTGCTGTTGACCCCCCTGCAAAAAGTGAATCACTTTTTGGGAGGGCTAGTGGAAAAAAAAACGCAAAAAAATAAATAAATCCAGTCTAAAGATCCAAGCCACCAGTCAAGAATCCAACTCATGGGGCCCAAGCGCTCGGCCATGCCCACAAACATATTACGCCCGTTTTTAGGCCGCGATTTGTGTAACTCACTTTTAGTTGGTTAAATGGACACATCCACCAAACCCTGAAAACCTAAAAACCTAAACACCTAAAAAAAAAAACAATAACTAAGGAACCGGATGGCTGGGAATCACCAAGAAGAACCTTCGGCCAATCGCAAGGTGCAAGATGGATCCTGGCCAATGGCATTGGCTATGATCCCAATGGGGCTTGATCTGGTTCCTGGGATTGGGTCCTGTGCAAATGGCAATGGTGGTCAAAAAAAACACACCTGAAACTGGGTGCAGGGGCATCCCAAATGGCAACCGTTTTGGAATCCCATTTTGCTTGGTAGGTGAATTCTCCACCCATTTGTTTTTGTATTCTAGTGGTTGGATTGGGATGTTCACTAGGGGTAGGACTTGGATTTTGACCCATGGCCAAATCTGACTGCCCAAACTCGTCTCAGCACTTGGGAACCTCCAGTTGGTCGGGTTTCATGATGCAGCTAGCTTTCAATATCCTTTGCCACGTGCGTCCCTAGTTTGTCCATCTCTCGAACCTGGCCCTGAGAACTTTACAACATGAAACACGTGTCCTACGAACCTGGCAAACGCTTCGGTAAGCCCAACGTCCGTTGGACCCCTCAAATGCAAAAACATGTTTCGGTGTTCCTTGTGGCTGCTTGTTAAGGGTTGCCCCCAAACATCCCATGATTAGAGTTAGGCCCAGTTGTAGAATGCATATTTTATTGTTTGCATCACTTTGAGTCACTGGCAAAATGTAAACTGTATCCTAAGTCCACCCCAGATCCTACCTACCAACCTGTCCAACGCCAGCCCAATGTCCTTCACGCCCCTCACGCCCGTTGCAGCCCAGTGTCCCATGAAGCACTTCTGTCGGCTGCAGAAGCTCTGATCGAGCTTCTGGGCTAAGTCCTGGCACTCGAAAGGCCCTGTTCAGAGCTGTTGGGTTGGGACTCTCCCCAATGTTGACCCCATATGGCTGTGGCTCAAAATAGGGTAACCCCAAAAGGGTTGCCCTGGTAATGGAAACATGGACTAAAACCTGCGGTTACATGGTGGCTTAATTTGGACCCATACCCATATAAATCAACCCCAGTTAGTTTTATTTACTTATTTTTAAAAAGAGGGTGTTCCCCTCCATAATCTGGGTTTGTCTGGGAATCATGTCCGTATTCTCAGCCTGCTGGATAAACCTGGGTGAGACACATACGTCCTAAAAATCCAAACCCGTAGGGGACTGAAATCGATTGAGTGTCCAAATGCCATTTCTGTGGGGTACCGTTGACTGGGGCTGGAAGCTGTGAACTGGGCGATATTTCTCCGAGCCCAAGTACAAGTTGAGTGTCGCCCAAAGCTGTGGCCCATAAAGAATCACAGGACACTCGAGATTATCCATAGGAAAAAATCAACGAAGGAACAAGTGACCAAATGTGGCATCAACAACCAGCAGCGCATCTGAAAGCATGCAAACCCGTAAAAAGGCTCGCTTGGACATAAATGTGAAGATCTCATGCAAAGCTTCGATGCAGTGCGCGGAAAGCATGCCAGGGAAGCTGACAAACGAAGACGTCCCGCTTTGTAAGCGTAGTCGATGACAACTTTGCCTCAGCCAGATTCGCTGCTCGGCATTGTGGCTTGCAACTAAGCCTGCTGCGTCAAGGAATGCAGTTCGTGGCAGTTGCCTAGATCTGGACGTTACTTGGAGGGGTGTGCGCTCCCCATCAAAGTCAGCCTCTAAGTCGTAGGTTGCAGGGATATAGTTCTTAGAACAGTGGATGGACAAAATCCACTTCGCACTGGTTGGGATGGATGAGCTCCTGCAAATAGTGGGATACGCCACCTACCCACCTGGTGCAGAAATTTTGCCCATCCACGGTAGGCTGAAAGGATGTTTGTGACTCTGGTGGTGCTTTGTGCCAACTTGAGAAGTGGGTCCGAACAGCGGGCCAACATTTTGACAACCCCTCCCTGCCAGCAAGGATCTTCCTGACAAACAGGATGCTGTCCAAGGGGTGTGTCAGGAATGCCTTGAAGTTTGGGTTCATTCCACTCTTTGGCTGCTTCAAATGGCAACTGCATGAATCCAAACATGTGGCAAAGCACCTGAATTTCACAGAAATACTCTCAGTGGCAGCAGGCGTGTGGCTGAGGTCTTTTTCGCGAACCTTGGCCTCAGGGAAACACTTGCCCAGTCAGCCTGGACTGCTTGCTAAAGGGCTAGTGCAGAAGGCACAGCCTTGCAGAGCACGGTCAGCCTTCCTTCCAATCAACAGAAGAGCAAAGAGAAACATGTCTCAGCTCAGTTGCCCACAGGACCCAGAAATACACGGCTAAGCTTTTGGGCCAACGACTAAACATGAACCAACAAGGGCAAACTAAAAGGTCAAAAGGTCAATTTGCTTTGGGCGAGGGAGGCATCTCTAGTTTCCGAACACCAGAGGAAGTGTGAGGCTGGCCTGGTCACAAAACAAATGCGTTGCACGGCGTTTCCTTTCTGAGCGCCACGCCATTCACCAGCGGCGCATCCTGAAATTGGCTCCAGGTATTTCAATTTTTTTGAGCTCATCTTCTGGGGGACTAATGGAGGGAAGGGAATGGTGATCGAAGTGACCCCTCGGGGTCCCATTTGCACAACTGCTTCAGCTTGGTTTCACAGAGATGTGTTTTTTTTTGGGGTAGCCTTTTCAGGCTGGGTCAAAAGGAAGGAGAACCCCCCCCCATTTTGGCAGGATGTGTTGTTTTTTTGGGGTAGCCTTTTCAGGCTGGGTCAAAAGGAAAGAACCCCCCCTCCCATTTTGGCAGGATGTGTTATTTTTTGGGGGGTAGCCTTTTCAGGCTGGGTCAAAAGGAAAGGAGAACCCCCCGCCCCCATTTTGGCAATCCCCCCATTTTAACGCATACCCAAAGTTTGCTACTTGGCAGAGTACAACCTCAAGTGCAAATGTTCTACACTTAGCAACGCAACAGCTTGTCCATACTTTGGTGGAGCGTACGGCAATTGATGGAAGGTCTCCCTTTATAACCGATCCGAAAAAATGGTACCCTGATTGTTTTTTTTTGTTTGCTTTTAATTTATTAAAAACACACAAACACCAAAGCTTCAACCATTGCCCCTATGAGCGAAGGGAGTGACAAAGGAGCACAACCTTGGAGAGCAAACAATGAACACATTCCAAACTTTGAGGAATCATTGAGTCCACATGCCTGGGGCTTGTGAAAAAAAACTAACACAAGTCCACCAAGCCAATTCTTAGCCGCCCAAACGCAGCAACTGAGGAGCTCAGCCAAAGACCCCAGCCCAGCAAGCATCAACACCCAAAATCGCTCCGAATCCATACTTCAAACATACATCCCACATGCTACACAAAAAGACAGCTCCATAACATTCGCGCGTACAGCGTTACGTTCCACTTGCTAAAAATCGCTTCCTTGCCGGAATCCACGGGAAGCCCACCAACTGATTTGCCGCCCCACTGCCTTGGTTGCAGGGCATTGCTCATCCGCGGTGGCCGCTGGATCTTGCAACTGCCTGGGCCATGTGTTCAACATGTCGAACTCGGCTTCGGACCTCTGCAACCTCAAATGAACTGGCCGCACAAGTTGGAACCATCATCCTAGGGGACACGGGACCGGATTCAAAGAACTCTGGTTGGAATCCGGAAAACGCAGCGAGTGCCTGGATGATCACTCAAAAAAATAGTGGCAGAACAAAGGGCTAGAGGCAGCCCGGTGTGTCACTGAACGTGGTAGAAGGGCAATGACCACTGACGGGACAGGAATGCTTAGGGCTTCTCTGGGTCCACGCGGCCTCCCAACATGTCCATTGATTGGCTCAAGAGTCAGCCTTCGGAACCCATGACCAACAAGCAGTCCACATCTGGAATCCAATACCAAAAAGCAAACCAAGGCTGAAAAAAAAACACTCAATTCACTTGTCGTATGTATTCGCCTCTCGCATCCCTTCAAGGCACGAAAATGCGCCTGGACGTGAGCGTGCGATCCACATCGAAGAGGCAAAGGCACTGGCCCATGGGTGGATCTGCGTATTTCTCCTCCGCATGGAACACACCGTGGATGGACGAAATCCTGTGTCACCCAACAAACCCTGGAATGATAAGATTCCCCTGTAAATATCAACAAATCATGGTTTCAAACCATACTTTCAAAGTGGTACGACATGGATTTTGTCTGTCCACAGTATGTGCTGGTTCAGTCGCTTCACTCGCTTGAAGCTCGAAGCTATCCAGCTGCTTCAAACAAAAAACACAAATTATGGGTGACCCCTTGCTAGATCCTCGACGAAATGAAATCCCTCTCTTGTGGTTCTTTTGGGGCATTCGTGTGACACATGCACACGAGCAAAGATATGGCAACTGGCTGACTTGCTCACTACGACTATGACCATGTGAATTGGCAGCCAGGAGTCGAGTTCTCGGGTTCCTTGTCTACCACCAGAATATGCAATCGATGCACTGTTTTCTATGGCTGGCCCATTTGCCCGGTTTGCCAAAGTGGCGACATGGCGGCTTGATCAGCCTGAGCTGGCTTCAATTCCGGCGGAGCAATGCCCTTGACGCTGGGGCGTCAGTTAAAGGAAGTTCGAAGGGAAGGAACTTTTGGTGTTACAGGAGCTAAAGGAGTTGTGATGTCTTTGAGGAATCCAGCTTTGCACGCGGGCATGATGCAAAAGATGGTTCGCCCATTCCAACAAACATCAATGCAGCTGGAAAACCTGGTGAAACCTTCTAAGCATTTGGGTTACCCCCAGTGCGGAACCCCTCCAATTCAGTTCCGATTTCTTTTCAACCACCACAAGAGGAGGCCCAACATCATACGACTGCCGTCCGGATGAGTCAATCTCGAATTGCCCCTCGAAAGTAAGATTGGTACAAAAAAGTCCGAAATTTCCGTTTGCCACTCAAATGGTCTTCTCAAAAAGTGCCTAAAGTCCAGGGACTCACGAACTGAGAAGTTACCCCAAAGGTCCTCGCAGGAGGGCAGAGTTGACCTCTGACCCCTTTTTTGGAACCCCTTGATGGGTCACGACTTGTTTGGTGACCCCCCCCATACAAGGGTGAGCCCCAATTGATATTTTCTGAGGCATTCCGGATGGAGAAACTCGATATACTTGATATGTTCTGAGGCTTAACAATACTCCGGGTGGACAAACTCCATCGTACTGTGGATGCTCGCGAAATCCAGAAATCGCACCACCCTTCAGAAACCCTACGATGCTTCCACGGTAAATGCCAACAAATAATGGTTTCAACCATGGTTTCAAATGGGATTTCGATGGATTTCGTCCATCCAAAGTAGCTTGTGTGTTTTGCGGATATGTCCATCCAGGGCCCAAAAGGCAATGGCAAACTTCCACTCCTGCAGACCCTCCAGCGGCGAGGCTGCACGTTGACTGGTGCCCAACCTCAGCCCCCCCACACACAAAAAAAGGAAACAGGAAAACAAGGTGCTACTGACCAACTGTTTCGGGCCCAAACCAAAAAGGGACAACTCGCCACGTACCTGTTTGTAGGCTGAACACAGCGCAACCGGTCTGGACGCCAAGACGCCACACGAAGCCCTGAATTGCTGAGCAGTGCCCATCATCCGCATGAAATCGCCTGCAGAAACCCACCTGCAAAGGACCAACACCCGATAGATAATTTCCAGAGTTGAGAGTGATCCGGGGTGCTTGCAATTTCAATCATGACTAATACCAAAATTCAACTCACCCAAAGATGGTCACAAACCCACACATTCAGTATCTGGTTGTGTTGTCGTTCAGCTAATGGTTGAGTCCAACTTACAAAGAAGTTGGTGGGTCCAACCGGTCTTACATGGTCTTACTCTTCACAATCTAACGCTCGGGTGCGGTGTCTGAGGCTTTGGAGGCTCTGAAAGGACAGCCAGATCGTCCATTTTTTGGGAAAAACAACCATTTGTTGGGAAACCAGCTCCATTTTTCGGGAAAGCGCACCTGCCTTGGGAAACATTTTTTGTTGCCTGTTCGAATCCAACCGATTTGAGGTACGTGGCCTGTGTTGGGTTGGACCCACCCCAGGAACCGCCGCCTTGCACTCTCGGATGGTTTTGGGACCCCGTGCACCGCCACCAGCCCCAGGCACAGCACCGAGGCGGCGGTGGCCTTAGGGGGCCGCTAAATCGGCCCATGTTTTAATCATGCGGAAGGTGAGACATGTGGCTGTGGGTCAGAACCCTGTACCCCTGGTGAACATCAAAATTGGCGGTACATGGGTGTTCATCCGCCCCAAAACGGAGGCAGAGGTTGTGACCCGTGGCCATGTGGTTGCCATATGTTTGCCCCCGACCTTTCCCGCTAAAACCGGCGGATGCAAGCATAGGGGAGATCATTTTAACCCCATGCTCAACCATGGTTCTTTCCTTGGGTTTTGTGCCTTTCCGGAAAACAGGATCCGGTTACCATTGCTCCCACTGACATAACATTTGTGGCAGGATACCTGGAAGATAAATTTTCTCTTTGAGGGACCCTCTGTCAGGTGCCATGCTAGTGGGAGGGAGTGTAATACCTCATGCTCAACCAGCGATCCAGCTCCCCTTTCCTGGTAATTTGTGGCTTTCCGAAAAAATAACCCCGGAAAGAATGGCGAAGTCACCCCTAGAATGCCACAGCCTGAAGCATAGCCTCCAAAGCGTGAAATAAGAGACCCCCAGCTGAAGCATCCGCATTTACATCTTACTTCGACCTAATCTGCGCATCTCTTTGCCTATCATTTACACCTCCATTCCCCTGTGAGGCTCGGCCAAGCCTAACCAACAAACCGCAGCGACCAACTCATCGCGGAAAGCCTCTTCCAAGGGCCGGGTGATGAGTCAAACAAGATGACCCACAAACCAACAAGGACGCCCCGTTAAAAACAAATGAAACCAGGTCACGCACACACATCCCCCCACCAAAACGTCGAACACATAGTTGCTTTTAGTCGGCCTTTCCAAAAACGGATGGTTGAAACCGCCAGAAAGGGATGGTTGAAACCGCCGAAAGGGAAACTAGTCCCATGGGAATTTGCGCTATCCATTGTCAAACCCATCCCACGCATACTGGCAACAAGAGAAAATTAACTGCCCTTTTCGATTTTGGCTGACTGGAAGGGCCCCAACAAAAAGGGGGACACGATTTCCATTGCTTCACGCAAGTTGTTTCATGTGCGAGTTCAATACCATTCACACATGACCACGACATCTTTTGATATATAACATGGTGCCTAAACACACAGAAACATATTATTAAGTGCAGCAAACAGTTTAACTTGTTGCTGGTTAAATGGAAATATGAGGGGAATCCAAAAAGTTACAGTCTAAAGTTCCAACCCAATAGCAGTAGAGTATTCTGCAAATAAACGAGATGGACTCATCCAACACTCACTTAGTTCCATGCAACAAACTCTTGCAATCGGCAGGGGTTGAAACCTAGCTTGCAGCACATACTCATTGGGCGAGGGCAACCCTCAAAGGCGCTGTGAGTACATCAAAAAGGCCTACCAGTGCAAGTGTCCTGGTCTCAAAGAGGCTCATGGCTTCTGCAATGGAACTCCATGTGTGAGGTCTAACGCGAAACCATAGCACCTGTGCGTACACACACAATCATAAGCGCAATCACCCACACATACTCACATGCCGAAGAATGAACATATCAAAAAAAAGAGAGCGCAGACCCATGCCATGCAGCCGTGTCGAGCTACCCGCCCTCACATGCTGACATCCACGCCTTGGCCCAGATCCTGGAGCGCACTGGAGCGGCCTAGGCTGAAGGGCACCGGGGTTCGTTCATCCCGGGGTTGAGGACGACCAACTGCATTTGATTTCTAACACGTGGAAGCCACTGGCTATGCAGAGGGTTGCCCAAAGGGCAGGAAAATCACGCAAGCAGCAGGCTTGCGAAAACGGCCCTCACTTGCCTTCAAAGGACTGCATAAGGCTGGTCACCTACTGCTTGAGCCCGCAGGTATGCAGGTCTTACAGGCATGGCCGAGTGTCCAAAGTAGGAATCATATCAGCCTCATGTGCAACGAATTCGAGGTTCAGGGGCCAGTCGGGGAATCCAGCCAACCACCACTCAAACCAAATGGAACCCGTTGCGCTTCGGATGTGGTCCGCCCGAAGGAAAGCCATAAGGGCTTAAATAGTTACGTACACACCTTGTTCCATCATGATCCTTACTTTCCTTTGCAACCCTTGGAATGGTAGCAAAAAACATGAACGGAACCAAAAAAAACGAAAACCACACAAGCTTGCCAAGAACAGTGAAGTTTCGTTTGGCTTTGTCCCCCAAAACCTTCAAACCAATTGGGCCCTGCAAACTGGCCTCCGGAAGCTCTTCCTCCGGCACAAAGTCCTGGCGGTTTCACAAGAACGGGTCGCCCGGGTCCCCCGGGTCCCGGTTTCGGCATCTTAAGAAACACGACGTGGGCGCGCCATGTGCTTTTTGCGGGGACCCACTGCAACCCACTCGCCCAATAGCCATGGACACACATGAATATTGGCCATTGCTTTGTGGAAAAGCAGAACATGTCCTGTACCTCAGGCCATCTTTTGTCATGGGTGTGTCTCCACTTAGCGTGGTCTGGAAACAAGGGTTTCTGTTATGGTAAGTCCCCGAAGTGGATTACAACCTAGGCTTAACAAACCTCCAATCTTGGTGCGCTTAGCTAAGTGACTAACTAAAGAAGGGAACCCACGTACCATGGTAAGTCGCCCAAGTGGATTGTTAGTAGCTGTCTCACTTGTCCAAAAGACCCAGAACTAAAATGTAAACCTTTTGGAACCTTGACTAAATTTGGATCAAATCAGGGAAACTAAAGGTTTAAAAGGTCGATTCGCTTGGTGCAACTGAGATGTAGCTAACTCCCGGCAAGCTGCAAACCGCATCCATATTCCTCCACCCGGAGCAGCTCTGTCAGCTCTCGCTCCATGGCTCCCTCAGCGATTCGACGTGAATCCGACCAACGCGGCACCCGGGACGCACACTCACCCTCCAAATAGTTTCACGGGGTTGCGACGGGCCCTCCAAATGGTTGGATGTGTCCAGAAATGGGAAACACCCATTTCAGTCTCCTCCAAATGTTTTGCGCGGGGGTCCGAATCGAGCCCAAGAAAAGGCAGAACATGGCCACGGGTTTCAATTCAGGGGTGGGGTACGAGGCTCCACAAGGACCGGGACTTGAGCATCTCAGCCTGGGAAACCAGCAGGAAGCTAGCCAAACCCCTTGCTTCTGGGGGGAATTTGCCCTGTGCCTGGCAGAGACTCAAAGCAAATACGGGTGAATCCACAAACCGAAAAAATACGATCCGCGCAAGAAGGAACCTTCATCATGTGTAAGGTTGCAATCGTTTTGTAACTTGCCCAACCGCCACGGCACCTCCGGCTGTCCTACTGAACAGAACGAGTGATTGGATCAAGAGGCATCCCACGATTCGAGGACTTGCGACTCAACTCCAGGGGAACGCAATCTCCCTTGGTGGTCATTGCTGGAAGGACTGAGGCGGAATGCCACAGCTGGGCGGCAACAAACTGAGCAATTGAAGTTGGCAAGTTCCGAAAGACAGGTCGCAAGGCTGTTTGAATTGGGGAAACACCCATGATCAAAGTACAACCAGACCCAGAAAGACAAGTAGCAATGCCCGATTCAGCATTTCATGCCGACTTTGGGCAGCATCTGAGGATCTGTTCTTTTTTTTGAGGGCTACCGATTTGTTTGGGTGGCTTTGAAGGGAAACGAAAAGGGCTTGATCCTACCCAAGATGCGCCAACGACCGGAAAGGCCTCGGGAGTGTCAACCAAAGGGGAAGACGTTGGATTCTTGTACGGAAGGGTGTCCCACAAATGGCAGGTTACATGCTGGGTTACTTCAAGAACCTAGACCCAAACCCATCCAAACTGTTTGACACACGTGCAAACAAACAAACAAACAAACAAACACACGCACAAACAAACACACACAAGCAAGCAAGCAAGCAAGCAAGCAAGCAAGCAAGCAAGCAAGCAAGCAAGCAAGCAAGCAAGCAAGCAAGCAAGCAAGCAAGCAAGCAAGCAAGCAAGCAAGCAAGCAAGCAAGCAAGCAAGCAAGCAAGCAAGCAAGCAAGCAAGCAAGCAAGCAAGCAAGCAAGCAAGCAAGCAAGCAAGCAAGCAAGCAAGCAAGCAAGCAAGCAAGCAAGCAAGCAAGCAAGCAAGCAAGCAAGCAAGCAAGCAAGCAGAACAGAACAGAACAGAACAGAACAGAACAGAACAGAACAGAACAGAACAGAACAGAACAGAACAGAACAGAACAGAACAGAACAGAACAGAACAGAACAGAACAGAACAGAACAGAACAGAACAGAACAGAACAGAACAGAACAGAACAGAACAGAACAGAACAGAACAGAACAGAACAGAACAGAACAGAACAGAACAGAACAGAACAGAACAGAACAGAACAGAACAGAACAGAACAGAACAGAACAGAACAGAACAGAACAGAACAGAACGGACAGACAGACAGACAGCCAGACAGACAGGCAGACAGACAGACCGACCGACCGACCGACCGCCCAACCGACAGACAAACAGACAGACTCACACGCACGCACACACACATACCCCACCCAAAACAGAATGGAGACTGCGAGGTTCCGCCCACTGTTAGGTGTCACGTGCAGTGCTTGTCTGTAGCACGCGCCTATGAAGGTCTGCTATGGGAACACAAACCCTTTCCGCCAAACCGCTTCCGAGCTTCGTCTCCAAGTGGCTTTCCTTTAACGCGAAAAAAGGGGCCCCACAACAAAGAGACACAGGGTTGGAACCAAGGCACCCCAGTCGATTTTCTGGGAGCCCGGCCAAGGTGTTGAAAACCAACGCCCAGGAAGTGAACTGTAGCGGCTGCGATAAAAGTCAAGCCAGGCTATTGAAGCAAGGATTTTTACCTGTGCGTGTGGGTCAAAAATTGGACCAGCTGGGGATTCTGGGCCCCCAGCTAAATTAGACGGACTGTGGATGGTTGCGAATTCCACTTCGCACCACCGCTCAGAAGCCTGCAAGGATTCTTGATTTCGCCTGTAAATACCAACAAACAGATGGCTTCAACCATGGCTTCAAAGTGGAGCAGGATTTCTTCCTCCTTTCAGGCTGCACCAAATAATGCTCCCCAAAATTCCCGCAACATGGTACAAAAGGTAATGCGAACAACAAACATGGGAAACATAGGGAGCCTGAAATACGGGCCATTTTCTGTTCGCGTCAATTGGCTCTCTCGCTATTCCTTCGATCGCGCTGGAGTTGAACAAGTTCCTGTCGAAGCCGAGCTATCTCGGCATCCTGGACAGGTCATGCTTTGCTGGGTCCATTCTCAGATCGAACTTGCAGCGGTAGGCAACAATGGGTTTCCCTTTAATCTTGACTGGTGGCTTTTCATGGTTGCTGGTATTGGTTCAACTATGATTAAATCATCCATTCATGTGATCCTATCCGAGATGTGGGTTACTCATCCAACTCCATTGGTTTACCATGGTTTACCACACCAGCTGGCCGCCCAGAACTCGCGAGTCTGAGGTCCCGATGAAATCTCCCAACAGCCCCCAGCTGCTAAGCAACCACTGGACATGACCAAAAGCGAATGGCGAAATATCTGGTGACCCTTTGGCGCGTTTACGGGAACTGGGCAAGCCACCATGCCAGCCAAATGGAGTGGAAGGTAAACATTGCACCTATGTAAACTTGGGATAAACAATCTCCTGGTTGAATGCGTACAGAGGTCCAAGGTTGATTTTTCAGGGTTCCTCATTCCTCCCGCTACTTCTTGTAAGGCTCCTCGAGATAGCGTGAGCCGTTGTGAGTTCATTTGAGGCGTGTACTATACATCCGTCATCAATTCTTGCAACACACGAAGCTTACTTTAATCGCTAATTACGAGTACCACAATGTTAGAAAAGCAAACGCAGGATTTGGGTATGTCATTTTGGGAGTAGCGGATTGCCGGAAAGGAACACCCAAAGGAAAGAAACCTCTTCCGAGGGACCAACCCTTTTGGCACGATATGCCAGGTTTTCGGTCCTTATCCTTGACCCGGAGCGCCAATTCATCCTCACCAAGCGCCTCCGCGTGTTGAATGGGTTGGTCAAAAAGCGCACTCTTTAAACAAGTACGCCATGCCCTTTCGGTTTCCTTGCGGAACAAGGAACATGATTCTGGCCGCTATTTATCGGAATGACAAATTTTGTGTGGCTTTCCTTTGGACAGTTTGCTATTATGTCTGCTTTTTGTCAAAATCACACATCCCCTTTCGGTTGCTGTTTGGAACACATCTCAAATCATTGTGATGTGGCTATTTTGCCACCACAGTGCCTCTTTGGGATCGAATGTCTGCAGCTCCCGATGCATTTGCGTACCATCTGTCCGGCTGGTCTCGATTCCTGAGTCGTGGACTTCAGCCGCACGGCGCAGTCACAAGGGTTGTCGGACTTACAAAATGATGTCGGATATCGATGGATAAGACTTCTTAGGTACTCTAGTAAAGCTTTTCAAACAATGAATCTCTGACCTGAAAAATGGGTCACAAAACAAGCAATTCCAGGTGGCAGAAAATAAGCAAGTCGCCATCAATACCAAGCCAATGCTGGCCAGTACTGGGGCAACACTAAGCCAGTAGACTACCAGGAGCGATTCTGCAAATACAGGCTTATAGTTCTATGTGTGCTGTTTGAAGACCTTGCTCAGAAACTGCAGCTATGAACAATTTTCGGGTTTCGAAAAGCGGTCGGGGCATACTCTTGTCAAGCCCGCTCTCGCGAACTACAAAGCAGGTTGGCTTGCCAACTCTCCAGCCTGCGGACAGGCCACAATATTTGTTGGGTGCGGTGCATCCTTGATCTAAGAGATGACAGCTAAGGGTGTGTTTTCGTCTGGTGCCCCTTTTGGGGTTGTTTTCAGGGCAACCAAATGGAACCATGTCTTTTCTTGTTTGGGCGGAGGTTCCTCAACTTAGAGACAAACCCCAGTATCAACGCTTTGCCTGCTGGCAGGTGAGTCACTTTTCGACTATAATAAACAGCAAATTTCTATATGTTCTTGTCCCATCTCACAGGGAATGCCTCCCAACGAGCAATCCCACGCTTCTTGAAGCAGGGGAAACCACTGGACATGGGCTCAAAGATGAAGCGTTGACCAATCCCCATGATTTTGTTTAGAGAGAAATCGCCGCAAAAGCGGACCAACTCTTTTCGTAATGACAGTGATTGATTGAGGATTGGCATTGCAGAACCAAGTCCAGTCGAATTTTGATAGTACAGCAGTCGACACGAAGCGCCGGGTCTCTGTAGAAATGGCCGTGGAATGACACCAGCTCCTGCCAGCTATGGCTGGTGCTGATGAGGCCGCTGCCGTGGGCCACCAGCCTCAAGCTTGGCTTCGCACATGGAGGTTAACTTCATGCACATAGGTGTGCTCAAAATGAAACCGCTGGGGTTACGCAGGCTTTGGTCCATGTGTCCATCTTCCAGGGTTCCATTTCATTGCTGGTTTTTTGAGCCACAGCCACGTAGGTGTCCTTTTAGGGGAAATAGATGGCCCTGGTAGATGATCAAACCACCTGGTAAACCAGGGCCATCTATTGTTCTACCAAAACAACCAAAAAGGACACCTATGTTCATGCAACTGGGCGCTCCGTTCTTAGATCCCCTAAAACATGTAACTTGTGGGTTGAGAAAATTCGGAAACCCGACCACTAAACCAACTAAGAACCACTACAAAGGTAAAACAAACGGACTGCTTTTCTTGGGTGCTGTAGATCCCCCGGCAAAAAGTTTAACTTTTCGCTGGTGAAAAGGAAACATGAGGAAATCCCAAAAGTTAAAGTCTAAAGATCCAACCCAATAGCAGTAGAGTTTTAGATCCTAACTTGTGGGTCAAGAAAATTCGGAAACCCAACCACTAAACCAACTAACAGCCACTAAGAAGCTAAGGAACCGGATGGCTGGAATTCGCCGAAGCAAGAACCCGGGTTCAAAGCTTTTTGATCGAACCCTGGAAATCACTCGAGAACCCTGGGTCAAAGTTTGAGTCAGTTCTCAAAAGATTTCCAGGGTTTGACAAAATCTGCCACTTGGGTTGTGGGTTGCCCCCGAGGCTCGAAAGAAGCACAATGTCTTTCACTCAAAGTCGTCTGCCGGAAATCTCTGGCTTTCCAAGGAACATTGGGGAGATTGGACAGTACCTGGTGTCATCTTCAAATGCACAATACAAATATGACCCCTAACGACCGGAGCTGAAACTGCTGCACTCCCGCACCAAATCCATTCTAGCAACATTTGTTTCAGGGACGATTTGGCGTCCAAATCGTCCATTCAAAATTCAAACTTGATAGGGTGGCAGCGAAAATAGCAAATGAGCATGAAGACGGCCGTGAAATGTCAGGAACAACATCTGGCACATGCACACACACACACACAATAACAACCTAAACTAATACAATGCAAGGACATGTGCTGACTGGAAGCAGCAACAACTCACTTTAGAGATCTTGAAGCCAGCACGTACGTAGAGCGAGTTGGGCTGGGCGATGGGAGGAATCCTTGTAAAGGGTTTCTTCTTCACGAAATAATCAGCACCTTCAGGCGTATAACATTTTTACTTGAGGGCCCTGTGGTGGACATAATGCACGGAGACTTACGTCCATCTTCCCGGTTGGAGGGTGTTCCTCCTTCAAACTGTGGGGCACATTTCGCCCATTTTCTCTCCCGGGCGGTTTTCTCGTCTAGGTCCTCCACTAGGAAGGTTAGAATAAGGGTACCTTTTTCCTGTAGTTTATTTTAGTAAGGGAACCTCCCCCAAAAAAGGGCAAAAGGGCACTACTGGGGGACCTAGTTGAACTTCACAAGTCTTCATCATACCTCTGGTCCTTGGCAGTCAATGGACTTTGCGCAGGATTGATACATTGTTTTTCAATAGACAACGAGGGGCTGTATATATATAATATATATATATATACATACTATATAAAGTAGATAGAATATATATGATATATATAATACATTATATAATATATATAATATATATAATATATAAGATATATATATATATATATGCTACACCCCCTTGAAAGGTTTTTGGACAGAACTGAGGCCAGACTGGGGGGAACAAATGCCTTGAGACTCTGAAATGAACTGGACACTCAACTCCATGCAAATTCTAACCAAGCCTGAGTTGTGTGACCGTCACATTGGCGTGTGCGAAGTGCACTTAAAGTCACATTGGAGTATGCAAAGTACAATTTGGCAGCTCCAGCTCAAAAAACACAACTGTTCAGTACAGGAGTAGTGCGCAAAGTATGTTTTGGCAGCTTCAGCGCGCCTGTAGCAGCCCTATTATTTGGTATTTATTATTTTTGTTTCGCAACGAAATTCCGCAAAACATCAACTCGGGGAAAAGGAAGTCATTCCTCATTCATGTTCTTGCGCAGTTGCATTTACATGTTAACTGGAGTGTTGTGCATAATTCCTGACATGCTAGTTCAGTCTAATTGAAACATATGTTGCAAAGCAACTATCCCACGTGTGTGCGTTGCTTGTCTAAGTTGGTTCCATCATCGCCACTAACAACTATTGAAATTCAAGTAAGGGAAGAATATCCAGTTAAAAAAAGGCGTTCGAGTTCAAACCAAATTCAAGTTTACTCGTTTGCAGTTTCTTGTGCATTTCAAAAATCAACTGGAGAAGATAGCTGTTGTCATGGCCAAATGAATTTGGAATCAAACTCAATTTTGAAAGGGTTATTGTCCTTCGAACTCCATGTGGTTTGAACCAAGCAAGAACTGAGCCAAGCCAATGGCAGGAACGTGTTTTCAATCATAGATCCAATTCTTTGCATAAATGCTGTAAAACGCAGTGTTTTTCAGCATTTGCTCAGATCGTGTTGCCCTGGATCGAACATCGATTATACAAGATTCCACAAACATATGTTTAGAATGTACTCAATCCTGGTCCCCCAAAAACTTGACAGTTTGTTCTAGACTCATCAAGGTTTCGCCCTGCATTGAAGATTGATGATCTACCAGATTTTCTATTTGATAATCTTCCATCCTGGCCAGCCCTCAAGTCCACAGACAAATGTAAAGGTGTCAGCAACATTTTGCCCCCTGGCCAATTGCAGGCAGTGCAAGTGCACATCCACATCTTGATTCTGACAACGTGCACTCCCGGTCTGCCTTTGGGATTCTTCAAATCCGCACTTAAGGCAATCCAGGATCTGAGGGAGATTCAATATTCTCTGACAACTCTTTCTGAAATTCTCCAAATATGTACTTAGAGTAATCCAGGATGTGCTAGCACGTGCTAGCACATCCTGGATTGAAGATTGAAGATTGAAGAATCCCAGAGAGAGTTGTCAGAGAATCTTCAATCTTCAATCCAGGATGTGCTAGCACGTGCTAGCACATGCCAGATAGTCCTAAACACGGATTGAAGATTTCCAGAACAAGTGGTCTGAGAATCTTCAATCTTCAATCCAGGACGTGCTAGCACATCCTGGATTGCACTAAGTACCGATGCTAGAATTTAAGTCTAAAAAGGAGTGCATTTTTTAGAGTAGAAGCTGGAACGTGTGTTTTGCGTGCATTTTTACAGCCAAAATGTCAATTTCTGTCCAAAAACCTGAGTACTCCAGGGGGGGGTACCATATATATATATATATATGGTCCCCCCCATCCCAAGATCCACATGGTACCTCTTGGGTGGGCATACATATATATATATATATGTGGTACCCCCCCCCCCATGGATCTACCTTGTTTGAGGATTCACTGGTATGTGCAGTGTTTTGTGCCTTTTTTCGGCCTTTGGAGACAGCAGCAAAAAAAGGCGCATTTCCAAAGCCACGGGTTGCATCTACCTCGGTCCTATTCCTGAGCTGAGGCTTTGTCAGAAAATACAACACAACAGCTATGTTGGAGCCATTGGCCCAAAAGTGAAAACGTAAAGAAGTAAACAATTGGAGCCAATGACCCAAAAGTAACCAAGTAAAAAAGACAAGAAAACAACATGTAAAATTCTGAAGCCAATGACCCAAAAGTAAAAAGTAACAAGTAAAAGGTAAACCAGCAAAAAAGTAAAACAGTACAATATTTCAGTCCATGGTCAAATCAGCTTACTTCAGGACCATGGGCTGATTTGCTTTACTTTTTTGCATTTACTTTGTTTATTTTTACTTTCTTACTCTTTGTTGTTTGATTTTCTTCACTTGTTTTACATGTTTTCTTGTTTTTACACTTTTGTTTCTCCTAAAAGTACTTGTTTACTTGTTTGCTTTTATGTTTTTACATGTTTTTGCTTTGTTATTTTTGGGTCATTGACTCCAGACATTTACTTTTACTTCTTTCCTGTTTTACTTGTGAGTCTCTAGCTCCAACAAATTACTTTCTTTGCTCTTGGGTCATTGGCTCCACATGCTTTTTTTTACTTTTTTTTTCTGTATCATTCGCTCCAGAACTTTACGCTTTTACTTTTGGGCTATTGGCTCCATAATTTCACTTTTGTATTTTGACCTTTCCAAGCTGCCGTTTGCATCTTCTGACCAGACCTGAGCTTAGAATGGATAGGTTTAGGGTGTAGGGTTTGGGGGTTTATTGACTCACGTTTGTAGGAATCGGACTTATTTCTCGCAATTGGTTGTTCAACGAATTTCATTGGAAACATGCTTGTTTGTTCAAAAACACAGGTTGTTGTGCCTTTTTAGTTTTTTTTGCTTGGAATTCAAAAAAACGATAAGGATTAAACATCAAAAAATCAATTAGAATTCTTGTCTCAAAATAGATTTGAAAGATGCCGTTTAAAAGGGGATCTGCTTCTAGGATTGTATTTTGTTCAATTCTCTCATTAGCATTGACATGGGACTTAATAAGGAACACACCCTAGTAGAGTTTCTAGGTTAAAGAGAATTTAAATAGGATTTCCTTGTCGAACTAGATGTGTCGTCAAATTCTTATTTGAACCTTGATGCTCAAACGGGTTGATTTGTTGGCATAGGTCCAATCGAATTCAATAGGTACATAATTTTGTTAGAATGTCTAGGTTTAAAGAGAATTCACATACTGTGTGTGTTCTTTTGTTAAAGGTGATTGATGTTTGGAGTTCTTAAAATAGATGTTCAAAAGGATGTCTTTTCCATGATGATTTGTTCAATTTTCTAATTCGGCCTGAAATAGAATTTGAAAGTGAATACCACCAAACTTAATATACTGTCTAGACTCAAAGATGATTTGAATATATTTTCCATTTTGAAGAACATCGTTATATAATTGGAAACCTTAATTCAAAACATGTGTTACAAAGAACTTCCTTTCCCGGGATATTGTTTCTCAACTTTCTATTTAGCATTTACTGGAATCTAATCAGGAAATACTTATAGTAGAATATCCAGTTTTAAGATAACTTAAATGGGATTTCCCTTTTAACGAAAACACAAAATAGGAGTTGTTCTTCCAAATTATATTTTGAAGAGGATTTCCTTGCTGAGGGTGAGCTGATATTGGTCAAGTCGCATTGGGCATTCCAAATAAAACAGCTGCATTCCATCTTCAAAATAGCCTTCAACCAGCAAACAGGTAGATCCATCGTGGGGGGGGGGTGCATACACATATACATATATATATATATAACTGGATGGATGGCTTCTTTGCCCAATTTCAGCAGACTCCCGTAAGCATGCTGCAAAAACAGTATTACTACACATCAATGCGACTCAACGTGCTTAAAAACATAGTCATGACACTCTATACAAGGTCATGACACTCTACACCTTCAATCACATGCAACACATCTTGTATCTGGCTAGGCAAACATCCCTTCGGCCACAGGCTGGAGGGTTACAACCACCAGCCACCTTAAACCTAGAAGCTCGTCCGTGAGCAGTTGGTACATCTTCACGCGGTTGGCACTTGACATGTGCGCCATGGACTCATCCAGGAGGACCCAGGCGGGCTTCTGCAAAAGACAATGTGCAACCTCCAGCGGATCTGACCAACGAGTGGAACACTTTGACTTGTTGCTGCTGGAAAGGGAAAAATCGAAACCAGTGCAAAAGGTCAACTTGTCACTTGCTGCTTGAAAGGGAAAACGAAGGCACGCCTTTGCAACCAAGTGAACGGTTTTCGGATTAACAAAAAAACAGTTTGATGCGGGAACCCCCAAAAAGTGTTGGTTCCATAAGTCTGGCAATGCAACCATCAGCTTTTGGAACTCGCCGCCGGAGAGTGAACTGTTCACGTCCAGTTGAACATCCTTGGTCCGAGCAAGTAGGAATGATCAGTGCGAGAACCTTGTGCGTCTGGTCAAGAACGGCAGAGCCACACAAGAGGTACCCCCTGACAAATCAACATACGCAGAAAGGGCTTTCACTTTAAGCTGCAGGACAAAGTCTACAAGTTGTCAGGGCACCCGAAAAAGGTTCTCACAAATAAAAGGGCCAGCTGCACAGAAAGCTAAGTGTGTAGGACCCTAGAAACCCTTTTTTCCGAACTGCATTGGACGTTTTGATGGTACCCGATTCACTTTGGTTGAAAAGGCAAACCAAGAGCAAAAGCCGTTTTTCTGTCTTTTTATTTTGGGGCCTGTTTTGACACACAAACACACACCCGTTTAAAATCACCCAAAAACAAAACTCCTGCAAGTGGGAGCGTCCAAGCCATTTTGGGCGAAGTCAGAAAGGCCCACTCGGTCCAGCACAGCGCGAATCTCCTCCTCGCTCCATTTTGTGCCTCGGGGCCATGGTCGCCGAGCCAAACCAAAAGTCTTGACTTCTGACCAGTTCATCTGAAACGGCTTCGAACGGAGCGCATCTGGAGCGATCAAAACTGTGCGTTTCCCCGAGACCACCGGAAATTTACTGAGTCCCCTTGTTTTTCTTTTCTTTTCTTTTAATAAAAATAGTCCGTTCCCACGTCCCCACCGAATGGACCATCACATGTTGCAACCCAGGAAATCAAGGCACCCCGTCTTGACGGGACAGTGGGGAAACCCCGCTAGTCCAGGTCCTAAGGACACCTTCTGATTTGATCTGGTGAAAAATGCAAAGAGGAGCTCGGTGCCAATTGAGCAGTGTTCTAAACCCAGTTACAGCCGAAGAGAAATATCAAATCCCTTACGCGAAGGCTTCCGCGGAGCTTGCGCGGCATGAAAGGTTCCTTCCGCAAGAGGTTTGAGGAGGGAATCGCTTCCGCGTCGCTTCCGCGGATTGAGAAATGAACGGATTGAAGTTTGTTTTCGCTTCCGCGCGTGAAGGAAAACTATGATTTTCGCTTTCGTGATTGAATACATAAGTGAGAAACCCCTTCCACGAACCTTGCGCGGTGCTTCCGCGACCTGGTAGCAGTCAACATTTTGAAAACGATATTTCCTTCCGAATACTACTTTCAATTGCAGGGGCTTTAGAGCGTCGCTCAATTCAACATGGCTCAAGGGCACTGCCTTGATACAAATGGACCTGTTTGAAGGGTGCCGGCGGGAGTTTTTACAGTTTCGTCCCAAAGGAAAATGGAAACCGAAGGCACCGCTGGTGGTCCGGAATATGTTTTTATGGCCGCGGTGCTGCTCTGCGGAAAGCTCACAGCCTCCCGCAAGGTCAGCGGCATTGGCAAGCGCGGCTTCTGCGGAATGAGGACCATGTCGTTGGAAGGAGGTGCTCTTGTATTTCCTCAGGCGAATCGGCTGTTCAAAACCAAAACAGGGATCCTTTCATTATACACCTGAACATTGCCTTGTAAATGGTGGTTTGCCTTTATTTTGGTGGAAAAAACAACATGTGTCAAATGGGCAAAATGTATCTTTTAAGGAGCCCTGCACAAATAACACCAATTTGGGACTTGTGAAACCGGCTTAGTGAAACTGTCTGAACTCCCATCTCCTTATCAGAAACAGCGCCAACCGATTGCTCACCCTGACATAAGTGTCCTCAGTAAAGAATACCTCAAAGTTTGGTTCTCTCATATATTCCCATCCTCCTAAAACGCAAGCCGGGCACCCTAAAGGAACCTTTTCCAAAAATAGGAAAAATCGTCGGGGCAAGCCATCTCTGCTTAGCAAATGCCGCGGTTCAGTCTCCGACATAACTAGATCTGATTCAATTCGCACATCAATTGCAGATTGGCCGGTTGCGTTTTCTTCCATCAAGGTCAGCCACTGATACACCTGACCCCGCAGAACGGGGCAGGATGCAACATTTCAGAAGCCAACTTTGAGATGTCTCTTTTTCATTTTTGCCTGCTTCGCTGGCCCCATGTAGAGTTCTTGAGACTCGGATAAACAACCTCGCGAGCGAGCTGACCCCGCAGAAGACATCGGCAAGGGATCCCCACCTAAAGGACCTTCGGCATGCCTCCTTTTGTGTTTGTGCCAGAGAGCTCTCCATTCCCCCCCCCCTACCGAAAAACGGTGGAAACCACCATTTTCCCTCCCAGCCCGCCGAAAACCGAAAACAGAGAGCTGTCCCCCCCCCCCCCCCCCCCCCCCCCCGAATCGCCGAAAAAAGCCGAAAACCATCCGAGGCGCGTAGGAAGGGCCACATGCCCGCCATGGCCTTGAGGATGGTGGACTTTCCCGCCCCCTCCTTGCCACAGAGGAGGACACAAGCGCCCGCCGGCACCTGCGCCACTGAATTCACCCACCCCACCGGTCCGCAGTCGGGTTCCATGTTGGTGGGTGCGAAAGGGTAACCCTGGCGTCGTCCAGTCAACTTTTAGCTGGGTTGGAGCAGGGAAGAGTGAACTGGCAGGGTTGGTGAAAATGGTTTCTTATCAAGGATGTGAACACTGTCTCTGTCAGGGTTACACTGGTTGTCGAAAAATGGTTACACAATAATGCATCAATACGTCTGTACATCATGACTATCACAAACCCAGTTGGGAATACATTAGCAACCACCAAACATGAACTTGGATGATGGCTGAGGTGATTTTATGCCCTCCATGTCAAGTCTATTCAGCTCACTCCAGCTCAGAAAACTCGGGCAAATCGTGGCAAATCGCGAGTTCCGCACCTCCAGCTGGGCCTTTTCCGATCAGCTGGGCCATTGGTGATGGTTGTTTTGAGGGTACCCTTTTTCCAGACGGTATCACGGGGAAACCTATGATTCCTATGCCTCACAGCGTTTTGTTTGTTGGAACAACCACGAAGCGCTTTCAGAAAGCAGCCCTTCTCCAGCCAAGACCCGATCTCTGACTTCACTCCACTGATACGATTGGGCCCAAGAAAAAAAATGAGGACTCCTTGGTGAACATCATACATTTGGAGAGTTTCCACCTGACAGCTCGAAAGTGTTCCGACGCCTCGTTTGAAAGTGTTCCGACCATGCAAAGTCATACACAAGTGAGTGTGTGTGTGGGTGTTTTTGTGTTCTTGCTTGCTTGTTGGCTTGTTTCCCGAGGGAACCCTATGTTAAGTTTTCTGCCCTTGGCTCGTCGACCTAGCCTCAAGCTGCACATCAATGAGCAGCTCACCCGAGGGCAACAGCAAAGCTGCCTGGCCAGACAAACGGGCGGGGTGAGCAGGGTCCCTTGAGTGATACATTCGGGCCTGTCAAGAAAGTCACCTTTGCCAGCTGACTTTGAGGTTCCCTCTGCAAAGCAGGTGGTTTTTGGATCAAGTCGCTTTTGAATCAAGCGGCAATGACTGCTTGAAAGTGTGGAAATTCAGTTTTTGGCTGGATGGTTGAAAAGTGCGGGGGGTTCCCTGATCGGAATCCGTAGCCCGAAGTGGGACACCACTATATACTTGGGGAACCAATCATCTGCCATAAGAATTTGGGATTAATTACGAACCCAGGCAAGGATGGTCTCGTTCACCCGGTCCAGACCTGACTCAGCTACTCAGGTTTCGCCCACAACACCACGAGGCACATCAATGGGGGCCCTGGCTGCTCGGCGTGAGTCTTTGAGACCACAGGCATGCGGCATCTCCCTTACAGCTTTTCGGCGGCAAAGAGCCGAAGGATCAACAACAAGCTACGCTGGAGTCTAACAATTCGGCAAACACCCAAGGAAATGAGCCTGCATGGTGGGGTGGCTCCTGCGGCGGGACCGGAAAAAGAAGAAAGCCCAGTTTGTGAGGACATATCTTATCAGCGCGAAAGGGCAGAATTTGAATAACATAGATGCTGGCAAAGCGAGCCTAGAAGTAAACAGGACAAGGCAAGTCAATCAGTGCCCGTGAAAAGGCAACCACGTTGTCCGCCTAACCAGCAGATATATCTGCCTTCAGGCACCTCCTGCTCTTGTTGGGGAGAAAGTCAAGCCGCAGTGTTTGGGAGCCTCAGTGCCTCTTGTGATGCTCTTCACACTAATTCCGAAAACGGGCCACGATAACATTTTCAACAAGCTTGCTGCTTTCACAGCACCGGCAGCAACAATTGCTCGGTGACCTTTTCAGTTTCTCTTTCCTCCTGTTTGCCACAATGGGACTGCCCTAAAATAGCGTCAACAGCACGCCCTTTGGCCGCGTGTGTTAGTCTTAGGCGGTACGGAAGAACCCAACGCAACCCAAACTGCTACACAGAAGCTTGTACTGCTGAAGCCCTCTGGTCTTTGTGCGTGAACCATCTAGCTCCCCACCTTTTGCGCCACCCTGTCCCCGTTCGAAAGTTGCAAGTAGTGGAATTGGCGGTTTCCCGCGGATGATGACTTTCGGTGAGCATCTTAGGCAAAGTAGTGGAAAAATAATTCCCCGGCAATTGATGTTGGTCGATGCACCAAGCTTGCCTTTTCCTTAGGTTGCTGCTTGGTCTGCGCTGGATTCATATCCCTTTCACTCACTCAGAGGTACCTTCATTGGAGGATCCTTCCAAATCATGACTCTCCCACATTTTGTCCAAGCTTAGGAGACGCCTAATTGGTCAAAATCGTGGGCTGCTTTTGGTATTGCTTGAACACGGACCACATTCCCATGGTTGGTATTGATTTTGCCTGGCTTAGCACCCTGGCATCGGCAGCGCAAAACGAGGCTTCCTTGAAACCACCCCCACTTTATTGGAAAAACCCAAACCCGCTTTGCCTTTGGCTTACTTTTAATCCAACAAAAAAAAACCTTGGAAGTCGCTAACACGAAGAAAACACATAAAAACAACAACAACAACACTTCCCCACCGACCAAAACGCCGTCCGAAGCTGCGAGGCGGCCACGGCCTCCAGCTGCAGCGGGCCTCCGGAAGCGGCGGAAGCCGGAAGCGCTGCCGGCGCTGGTGGCGCGTCGGCGCCGCCCAGGCGCTTGGGCCAGCCGGGGGGCAACCCAAGAAGCGCCAAGGTCTGGATGAGCTGGGTGTCTTGTGCCTCACTCGGGGTGGTTTGGCTTGGCTTTTGGTTTTTCTCGCTTGGGTTGGTTTGTTTAGCTATTGGTTTGGTCAGGTGAGTTGATGTCACTGGCTGGGCTTTTGGTTGGGTCGCCCAGGGTTGATGTTTTAGCTTCAGCCCCTCTAACATGTGCGGTATTTATGAATGTTTCCGTGTTTTGTTTTTTCTCTTGGTTAAGGACTGGCCCTGTTGCAACCGCATTGCCGCCCAATATTTCAGCCCCTCTTGTAACAAGTTGCGGTGTATCGTGCTGCTGCAATAGTTGTTTAGAGAAAATCAAGGGTCAGTGTACCGAAGCATCAAACCGTCCTTTGGGGGGCCATGGAGCTTGCCCCCTTCTAAACCAACCAGCCAGTCGAAACGAAACACATTGTCGAAAGGAAACCTGCAAACATTCAGAAACATCCCGAAGCGGCACGACCTGGCAAAGCAAGGAGGCGAGCAACCTATGGCAAAGCGTTTGTGGCAGACTGGGCGCTTCGGAATGCTCCCAAGAGTGTGTCCAGGTCCTTGTTCAATTCTAAAACTTTGCTGGAAAGCAACGTGGCTAAACATTCAAAAACAAAAATACGAGATTTCACAGGTGATCTTTGAGATCTGCAAAGGGTGATGCGAATGGCAAGGATGAGTTAAGGCAGGTGGTGGTGCATGGTTTGAGTAGCTTCTTCAAAATGCTCGCGGCTTCATGCCCACAATGAGTACCTTGATTCCAGCCTGCTAGGCTTCAATGTTGCATCTAGGCAGGCACCATGGGGCTGCAGGCATGTCACAAGCCAAGTCGTCCAATCACACAATACCAACCAACCAAACATTAAAGAACCCTTAACTTTGAACAAGATCTCATGCAATATGCACAACTACTCTTGGGCTTCCAAGAGAGCTCTAAGCAAAAACCTTGGTCACCAAGTACCCACCAGTTAGGTCCCTGACTCCAAGGCTTGGGACTTGGGAACCCCGCTGCCCACTGCCTGCGCCCGCGCCTGACGGCTGCTTTTCTCCTGGTGGAGATAGGTCAGGCAGCTGTGCCGGAAGTTGTGGAGACGGTCCACGGTGGCACGGTACACCGACAGCCGCGAGTAGTTGTCCTGCCGTGGAACAATGAAACCCTTTGCTTGCTAGTGCGATAGGTAGAGAACCTGGAAGTCCCCTGAAAACAAATCACAAGGGATCGGATGGTTCATAGGGGTCATTCCCTCAATTCCTGCTGAGCACCAGCACGTTTGGTTGTTGAGGTGAAACAGAAAAACAGCAACAAGCAGGAACCCAGCCCACACCAGCAAAGACTGGAAGCCAAGAATCGAATGGACTATGGGCCGCCATGGCCGCCTGAAAATAAGTAGATAACAGTAACAAAGAATAGCTTGCTAAACCAAGCAATCGACCACCCCCGGAAGTAGAACAGAACAACACGTATGACTACACCCAGCCAACGCGACAAATGAACCGCCCCAATAAGCAAACCACTCCAAAGTAAAAGCCAACAACTTCACGTACACTAACACACATACTGTGGATGGACGAAATCCTGCACCAGGTACTTACGGGGAGAATCATTCCAGGGTTTGTTAGGTGGTGCAGGATTCCGTCCATCCACAGCATTCTTGTTTGTTGAACCACAAAAAACAAAACATGACTAAGAGGGCAACTGAGTGTCCACCAAAAAGCTCAGCGAGTCGCTGATCTTGTCCAGAGCACTCTCGCTCTGCTTGAGCCGCCCCAGGCTCACCTCCCCTCTGATGAAGAAGGGAGCCAAAATACCTGGGTGTGATTCCTCGCTTTCCGGACTTGAGCGGATTCACCTAAACACGTCCAATTCATGGGCGGCTGACATCAAATGATACTTGACATGGCCAGGGGAAGCAAAAAGAGGGCCTAAGGAATGCTGTGGCACAAGACTCAAAGCCCGACTTCAAGGACAGGTGCAAGTTGTGGCTACTTGGACATGAAAGACACACGTTACACTCTGCTCCGCTAAACGCTCTTGGTCCTCATGGGCATCCTGATGTGTAAAAAGCTCAATCGAGCAGCGAACAGCTATCTCCCGCGAAAAGAAGTTGAGCTGCGAAGCCCCTTCGTCTTTGAGGAGAAGCGGGGAAAGATGTTGCTTTGCTTCGCTGGTGTGTCGCAATCATGTGCCAACCTCGCCTGCATAAATTGAAACGACACCTCTTGGCCACACAGAATAGCCATCCCAAATCCTGAACCTCAGCGAACAAAAATCACAGAAGGGCAAGTGCTTTGTGGCCATCCAAATAAACCCAAACAGCTGTTCAACTTTGCAGAAAAAAGGCGCACACACACACACACGCGCACACACACACACACGCGCACACACACACACACACACACACATACATGTGCCATCAAAGAAAACCACTTCCAATTGCAAAAGTTTATGGTCACCCTCACAGGGATACCCTACCTATAGGTGCAAAGGATCAACAAAGAAAATTCTCTACAGACAAACTCGGAGCTTCCCCTCAAGTCGATGAGTTTTCCACCGCAAGGACACCCCCCCAAACCCATCCGCACTGGTCGGCTATTCGTAAGCGGAGATCAACCACCGACCAGGCAGCTTCGAGGTTCCCTTTTCGGATCAAGCATCATGCAGCGGGTGGTTGATTTGAGCATCCAAGGCTTCCAGGCTTGAGGTTCAAAAACGGCAAACCCTGGGCACTGGGCATAGCTTTTGCAGCCCTCAAACAAAAATCAAAGTGCACTTGAAGAGAGGTCTGACAGAGGAAGGTGCGCCTTCAGTAGCTGGATTCCATCCTTTTCGGAAGAAACAACTGGAACCTCCTGGGTCCTGCAAGACCATTCTCCTTTAAAGGGACCATTTCTCTGGTAGGTTCATTGTGGGCCAGAGGGTAACGGCCGTCCGCAGGCGTGGCACACATAAAGAGAACCTCCCGCAGCGGGCTGTACCACTTCTGAAGAATCGCCAGGCGCTTCTCGAGAAGCATCGACTGCCTCACGACTCGACGACTCGACGACTCGACGACTCGACGACTCGAAGAGGCTTTCGCTGTGCGCTTTTCCGGGAAAGGCTTCACCAAGTTTAGGGGGCCCTGGGAAAAAATGAGACCATCTGTCCAGTAGCGATAGATTCCTGCTAAAACCTACAAGGGGAAGGAACAGATATTGGTTTCTAGCAAATTCAAGCAATGCTTTAAGGACAACCGCAACATGTTTTCTGGTTGGCGTCACATGAAACCCAGGATTTGAGTGTGGTTCGCATGAATCTCAGTGCACCTTGCTACGGTAGTTTTGTGACTGGGATCCACTGCTCTACTTTGCACTACTCACATCGTTCAAGCACATCATGATCACAGAGCATGGGCCGCAAGCGCCAAAATCCAGCCACCTGCAAGTGTGGTGCACTGTTCTGATTCCGCGTGAGCACGTGGTAAACCCGTCCAGCGGGTGGAATGCGTTAAAAATTAGGCATGTGGAAAGACTCCTGCGCTCGACCATGCAAAAACCATCTCCCACGCGACGAGTCATATCAGCTTTCAATCCGAATAGACAAGGGGCCTCTAAATACCCACAGTGCTGAAAACATGCATAGGCGTGGAAATTGCCCCTTTTGTGATACGAAAGGGGACTGCCTCAAACGTTGAAAGGGGAATGTTCACCAGTATCACAGAATGCGGTAACCTCAACCCCGCCATTTTCAACCATGAAAACAAGTGCATGTTTGCAACCGCAAGGATTCCAGCCACATCCCCGGCTGCAAGCCCCAATGGCCCCAATCTAGGGGATTGGGCTTTACAACTTCAGAGGACTTCCCCTCGGTAAGGGATACTGTAGCGACTCACGTTTGAACCTGGGGGCTCTCGGCTTGACTGCAAACCATTTCTCTTGCATCGATGCCGGTTTTCAGTAAGGAATCAAGCGTGGTTTTGGGAATGAAAAGGATCTCTGGAAGTTAATTACAGGTATGGCTGTTTTTCTGGGCTCATTTCAGACATCGCTTGATTCTGGCCCCAATAGTTCGTTTGTTCCTTTCACAGAACTCGGACACCCAGATTTCCACCCCACCACGCCACCCACTTTTCCACATTTCCAGCCGCCCGCTTCCCGAGCTTCTCAACGAGCGAGGCAATCAGCAAGCGAGGCGCCAGGTGGCCATGGGTCAGCCAAATCGTACCCCCAGTGAACCTCCCAATCCCCACTTCCCACTAAAATAAGTTTCCAAAATGGGTGGTGAATTCACCTACCCACCAAAATGGGCTCCCACATTGGTTTTGATCCCTGGCCACATTTCCAGAACTTCCCCCGCTTCCCGCACGCTTCTCAACGAGCGAGGCTTCCCCAGCCAGCGAGGCGCCAGGTGTTCAGCTTGATCTTCTCGAAGCGGTGCTTCAGCCGCTGCAGCTCCGCGCCCTCGGAGCGCAGGGACGCCACGGTCTCGCTCTGGTCGTAGACGCGCCTCGAGGCACCGAAACGCGACTCAAGGCAGCGAGTCCAACGGGACTCGACGCGCCCAAGGATCATGGGGGGGAGGAGGGAGGTAGCCCAAATAAGCCCTCCATAAGGCTTAAGGGCTTATTCGGGCTCCCTCCCCTCCCTCCCCCCCAGCCCCCGTGAAAGGAGCCCAGGAGAACGAGCGCCCAGGGAGCCCGTGGCAAAGGCCGAAACCGGGTGCAACAGATCTGGGCAACCAGTTTGTCCACCAAAACACCAGCACAAAGACCCTGGTCACACAGTTGTCCTGCTTTATTTGGAACCAAAGAACTGGGTGACAGGGCTTGGGTGTGGCTCCTGATGTTCATGGTGCCCTTTGGTTGCTTCGAAGTGAAACTGAAGGGAAACCAGCTGTTGTCGAGGGTTCCACAGTTGAAGAGCATCCCATTGCACATGTGTCACAACAAGGCACCCCACAAATGGGTCTTTACTTTTGACACTCTCACACACCCACAGGTGGGTACAGTATACTATGCTTCTAGCAGGACATGTGCATCTTTAGGCTGGAGTTTTATAGGCCAACCCCTCGAATATCTAACATCCAACAAACAATCGCATATGTTAATGCATGTTAATGTGCAATCATACATGTATACACATGGTATCTCAAAACGCATGAACCAACCAATGTGCCCACATACGGGTATCATCTTATATGCATATATATATATATAATATACACACATAATATGATCCTGACAAGCATTCGCAACACTGTAACAACCTACATAGATCATAGACATAGCAGAGATCAGAGGTTTTCACTGCATCCTCTCTCCACCTTCCCACCTTCCGACCGTTCCGCCCGTTCCGCCCGTTCCGCCCGTTCCGCCCCGTTGGACCCCGAACGACTCGCGGAATTTCCCGGCCGCAGCTCGGAGCGGAAGTCCCCGGCGCAGCGCTCGCCTTGCCAGGAAAAGTGCGCCAGCTGGGCGCCCAGGAAGTGCATGGCAGCAGAGCCCACAGCGGAGTACAGAAAGGCGATGGACACCAAAGTCCTTGGGATACGGACCTAATACTCGGTTGCTTTCTGCTCTGCTAAAAGTTTAACTTTTGGTGGTTGAATGGAAAACCTACTAGTTGGACACCAAAGTCCTTGGGGGGATACTGTGGATGGTTGCGAAATCCAGAAATCGCACCACTTGGAAATGGGAAAGATTCGGGGGATCTTGGATTTCGGGGGGAGCCTTAAAGTGTCCTGGGAGGCTCTGGTGAGTTTTGAAGGCTGGGTGCAAACACAACGACCGGATACTGCCTAACTGGTCCTTTTCGGGGAATCGGATCACTCACTTTTCTTGAAGGTCTGGAAGTAGAAGGCGATCACCTTTTGGGGCCGTAACGATGGACCAAAAAGGGGAATCAGAAGGTCAAACGCTTTTGGCAAGTGGAAGAATGGATTGGTGGTAGGAACGGATTCAGATGTTGGGATTTCTCCATCCGGGGACACGGGGAATTTCTTGTACAGGCGACCCCTGTGGCAGCAAACATCCTTGTCATCTTGGATTCGGGGAATTTGTAAAATGTGACCCTTGCTTGTGGCAGCAGACGTTCTTTTCATCTCTAGTGTGGGGGAGCCTAACAGCTGGTCCTTGGCTGGCCGGGGACGCCTTGCTGGTGCGTTCTCGGCAGGGAATGAGACATGGAATGACCTGAATATTAACCATCGAACTGGTGGCAAGATAATGATTACTTTTCCCGGGCCTGGAAATAAAAGGTGATCACATTTTGGGGCCATGACGGAAAATGGACCAACACGAGGACACTTAAGTCCTTGGCGGGGATTGGATAATAATCTTTCATTTGCTTTTCACTGAGCCCGTGGAACAAATTGAATAGTGATAGATTCCAAATGTAAAACCAGCAGGGGATTCCGAATAACTGGCGGGCCGGGGATAACTTGCCGGTGCGAGAGATGCAGGGAATAAGAAATGGAATGCCCCGAATAAAAGCCATCCTCATCCAATTGGTAGTTTCCTTTGTTCGGGAATCCCCAGGTTAATCCAGTTCTCATTCCCTGCTGAGCACCAGTAAGATAATAACTCACTTTCCAGGGCCTGTAAGGTGATCATCTTTTGGGGCCATGACAATGGACCAACCCGGGGAAACCAAAAGGAAGGTCGATTCGGTTTGGGCCAGTGGAAGAATGGATTGGTGGCAGGAACGGCTTAAGATGTTGGGATTTCTCCATCCGGGGATTCGGGGAATTCTTGAAAAAGACGACCCCTTGCATGGCCATGCATTTGTCGGAATGCATTTTTGGTGTGGGCCAGATAATGACCTAATAAGGATAATAATAAGATTATAGTAATAATAATATTGCTAATATAAATAATAATATTGCTAATAGTATTATTAATTGTCTGTTCGGTTGCTGGAAGAAATGAGACAATATATCAGGGATAGATTCCGATATTGAAACCAACAGGGAAAATATTCTTAAGCAAATGGAAGTAGTGGACTGGTGGTGGGAAAGGATTAAGACGTTGGGATTCCATCCAGGGATTCGGGGGGATTCTTGAAAGTGGCGAAGGTGGCAGCAAACATCCCATATTTCTGGTGTGGAGCATGCCTTTTTCGGAATACACAGGTTGAGCAGGTGAGTATTCGAAGGGCTCCTTGCAAATTGTAGGCCACCAGTTTTGCCGTTTCACTCAAAGCAACTGTTCGCAACCCCTTGTCCATTGCACTGCGCATCAACCTTTCATTTCCAGTGTTGTTTAGGGGCTTGTCTGTGATACCAAGGCGACCAATTCTTGCCAGGCAAAAGAATGACGCTGCAGGAATGCCGTTCCACATACCTTCCGAATGCATGTTGTGTAGATGTTGGACTTGTCTCGAAACAGGCGAACTTCCAGAATGTGTGAAATTCTGTTGGTTTGCCTGTACTCAACCTCCAAAATTAAAAACATGGAAGTGTAGGACGGCACAGGGCCTGCATCGTGTCCAATGGGGAAGATTTATGAGTGCCTTGTAAGAAGAATCTGTTCAAAGCTGCAAGGCCGTTGCAAGCCTTGCATATGAGGCTGGCCACGGTATGTGCAATCCCTTCTTCCTAATACGTTTAATAATAAACAAACCTAGCCGACCCCGAAAATTGCAAATACTCAATTTGAATCACTCAATACGAAACCAATACTAAACTCTCCCGAAACCAGATCCACTCAGCGAATCTCTCCAAATGTGCTTATTAGGAGTCCTTTAGCCCTTTGAAAGGTCTCTTGTCGAAAAAACACAATTATCCATAGTGTTTTTCTCTGCCAAAAAAACACGCACGCATTCCCTTGAAAAGTTATTCCTCAAAGATTGCATTCTGAGCATTTTTGTTTTGCAAAAGGGACCCCCGTTCCAATTTGAGCCCAATACTAAACAACGCAGTCTGAAACAGAAGTTGGCCAAATTGCGGGGGACCCTAGCAATAATCCCAAGGTGTTGTTCTTTAGTTGGGGAGGGACGGATTGTTCTCAGGGGACAAGTTTTATCTGGTGCAAAACGCACCAAAATCAGGTCTCAACCAAGCAAACCCACGCTCATCTGTAAAGCATGATTGACCCCATTTGTTCCACATTCTTTTTGTTCACCATGTGGGCGTGTCCAAAAGATATGGGTCACCCTTGTGGGATGGCGATCATCGCCAAAAGAACCAAACCGCGCAAACACACAATCAGCTTGGCTTGGGGTCCTGAAGTTTGGCCAAATTTCAACAAACTGGAAGACAGGGAGAGCACGTGGCTTAGGTCACTTTGAAGAGACAGGGGGACCCTCGCTGCCACCATCTGCAGCCGAAAGTCCCCGCATGCATTGAGGCAGGTGTTATGCTCATCAGCATGTAGCTGTACATCAGCATATTTACTATCATCTTGGTAACTCCGAAGCTCAAGGAATACGTCTGGGTCCTGACGGACTGAAAAGCTGTCTTCCCATAATCGTCAGCCAGTTTGGCTTGATTCTTTTGGCAGCTTGAACCAAAAACAGACAGCAACCATTTCTGAAATGGACAAACACCAATCTTGGGACAAGAACATCTTTGGCCAAGCAAGATTCAAGCTCTGGCTAACAGCAGCAACACTTCTGGGCACATCATCACAACTTATAAACCTGAAAATAGGAACTCCCTTCTTGAGGAGCCTTAATCTTGGTCTTGGAGGTCGCAAACCAAATCCCTAAAGGTTGCTATAAAACTATATTGCACAGAAACAACACACACACACACTTTGCCAAGTCAGGGCCAAGAAACACAAAGTTGGCCACATCCACGTGGATCCGTTGATCCGGATTGTCGAACTTGCCTCCCTCTCGCATCCTGAAGACGTAGGTGTTCGGCACCCAAATGGCCTCGAAATATCTCGTCAGGTGGTCCCTGCAGTGCAGGAAGAACATGTCCTCCACGTAGAACTCGTAGACATAGGTGATCATGCGCGTGAAATGCAGAATGAACCAGTTACGAATCAGCTCGAAGAACAAAGGCAAACTGGGCTGCTGGTAGAGGTTCCAATAGCGCTGCTGGAAATCGAAGGTAATAAGATCCAGGTACATTCCCAGGATGTGAATCCACACCTCAGACATATTGATCATGTCTAATTAGGTCACACACACAACAAAATGGATCATGCATGCAATATTCTACTCGCAACCATGGGTAAGCATCACGACACTCATAACTAACTCATCACGACACATGGCATTCTCATCCGAGGAATCCTCTTGGCATACTTTCGTCCTTAACTTATCATGAGATTCCTCAGCTGGAGTTGTGATAGCTTCGAACGAGGGAGGCCACACTGGCCAACATAGTCAGCTGGTATGTGCTATTTTTTAGGAGCCCCATCTTATATCCTGTTCTCGTGCCATTGTGCTGCTTGCTCCAACAATTGAACAATGTGCGCCTTGTTCATTGAAAGGGTCACAACATCCCTCGCAAGCACTCCGAAAAGGCCCCCATCTTGAAGCGTAGGGCCAAGCCGAACTCCATCTTCAACATCCGTTCCAACAAGCCACCGGTCAGGGGCGTTGGTCCAATTATGGCCTCGGAGGATTGACGTAAAAAATGGGGGATATCACCGGCGAACCTTTTGGGACCTCGACTAAAACAACAAACGAGACAACTACCAAAAGGTGAACAGGTAGAGAGGGAACGTTTCTTCTTTGAGCAAACACAGGCTCCACACCAAAAAAAGTTGGCGCCGAGCGGCGAGAACCAGTAAGTAGCAGCGGCCCTTGACACGGCCAGCCCCGGCCTCAGACTTTGGCGAAGCTCTGAGTGAGTGGCAAAGGTCAACGCAGATCCCCCAGCAAAAAGTTTAACTTTTTGCTGGCTAAAGGGAAATATGAGGGAAAGCCAAAAAGTTCAAGTCTAAAGATCCAACCCAAAAGCAGTAGAGGGAGGGCCGTCAAGTTCATGACTGTCCTTTCTAAAAAAGAAAACTGCCAAGAAGTTAACAGCTCTAAACCGGTTGGTGAATGTAACGTTCAACGTGGCCACATCGTATTGAACAAACCTGTGAACTTCCGACGTTTGCAGAAAATCCCATATGGCCATTTGTCAAAAGCCCGTACCCCCAGTGAACATCCCAATCCCCACTAAAAAAACTAAACTGGGTGGTGCAAAATGGTACCATTGGTTTTGACCCACAGGCATATCTTGCTGAGTCTGTGGGGTATCCCAAATGGCAGTTCAGCAACTCACTCCAATCAGGTGGTTCCTTAGCCCTTGATACTGCGGTTGCGAAGTCCAGGTTGCACCGTGCAGAAACCCTGGAATGAAACGATTCCCTGTAGATGCCAACAAACAATGGTTTACCCATGGTTTCAAAGTGCAGGATTTCGTCCACAGTATCTCACCAGGGGTTCTTCACAATGGGGGTGAGACCTCATATTCTGGGACACAACAAGTCAGCTTCCCTCGAATTGGTGATTTGGATTGGTGGCTTGGAGGTTAGGGGGTGGTGTCCCATCTACCCTGTACAAGAACCCGGGGATTTGAATTCAATCCCCCAAACCACCGATTGGGGGCAACCTGAACAAGGGAACCCACCATACGGCAGCAGGATTCAGGATTGATTCTGAAGAACCAAGTCGAGTCAAAAGTTGCCACATCTGCTATTAAAATATGCCCTGCACCGTAAAACACGATTTGACACATCTCATTGCCACTTGTTAAACTGGTCTGCCCAAACATAACCTCCACCTCTTCGGAGAACTCTCGCATGTCTCACGGAGATCTCGGGGAGTGCGATACATTTAAGGCGCACCTCCAAATGAACCCAAATCAAGTCATCGTATTCGAGAACGTAGGTGTATGCAATGGGAAAGCCTGACAAATAAACCTATGGTTTGATTGGGTGGGTTTTTTTTGTGTCCCATTTCAAAGGGAATCCGTGATTCTTGGGGGACTCTAAATCCACGTTCCAGGGTAGCCCACCCCAACCCTCCAGAGGCTCCTTCAGGCATCCTGCGCGAAAAAACCAGCAAGCTTCTGATTTACTGATCATTGATAATCGCAATCACGGAGTAGCAAATTAATAAGAAAGGTGCCCTAAGAGCCCCTTTGACCCGAAATATGAGACCCCCAAACGCCTCAAAATTCTGAGGTCTTGGGCTCGTAGTGAGGTGATTTGTCTGCAGAAACCAGCAGCTTCGCATCGCTTTATTTAATTTATTTGTTTCAAGGCGCCAAGTAGATCCGCGCCAAAGACCAGGCACGGGAGGCCAGCAGCAGCGTGAGGCCTAGGAAGCTGCTGTCCACTTTCTCCGAGCCTGGCGAAAAGAACCGACCCTGGGCTGCGTCCTTTGACCCTTTCGGGGACTCAAATGAGTGGATTCCCACGGAAAAAACGACTCCAACCCAAAATCCTTTCGACCCGTTTTCTTTTCAGCCATCGTTCTTTTCAAAAACCGATCGCCGTTTTCGCTGGGTTTCCGGAGGTTTTCTAGAAACAAGGAGCCCTGGAAAGAATGGGGAAGGTAGCAGTAGAAAAACCGACCCCGGGACGCGCCGCCAACCCCAAACTCCTTTTGACCCTTTCAGGGATTCAAACGACAATGAGTGGATTCTGATGGGAAAAAATCGGCATCCTTTCGTTGACTTTAAAGGAAGATGAGTCAACTTCATGAATCAGATGGTGCCTGCCTGGATTTGGTCTGGTCATGAGTCAACTTCATGAATTCTGCATTTCTCAGATGCCCAGTGCATTCCTATGGGGAAAAAAGATTCGGAAATCCATTTCCTGGTTTGTTGGTTTTTTTTCTTTCGAATCGGAAGCCTTCCCCCAAAAAAAAGTCGAAAACAGGGCAACGAAACCGGGCAACTGCGGGGACTAGCGCGACTAGCGCGTAATCAATTAGGGAGATCGCCGAACCGGGGGCGATCCGCGGCAAGTGAGCAGCTGTTGCCCTGCGATGCCCAGTGGCCATGGAAAAGAAAGGGGCATTTGTTTTGTTAAGGGGATGGTTTACCAAGCTAAAAGAGAAAAAGGGAGCACTGGGCAACAGAGGCCTGTTGGAGGGGGGGGGGGGTATTTTTTTCACGAGGTTCCGCATGAAGCAATTTCCCACTAAAGGCATGAGGAATAAGACCAGCACCGAGCCGCGAGTTCTTTGGTCTCCCATTGCAACAGCTGGCCATGATCAACGTCCTCCTTTTCCGGTTGTCTCAACCACTGGAATCCCTGCAACCGGAGCCCGGAAAGCTGCCCCAAGCCCATAACCATCAGGCGGTTGGGGAAAAAAACATACATCCACCAACATATATCGACCGATCCCATTCCCTCCAACACTCACTTCTTGACTGGACTGGCCAAACAAAAGCCTGAACTTGTAACAACTTATATACCACCAAAAATGGTCCAAACTCAAAAAGTGATGAAGTCCGAAACAAACAACTCAGGAAGTGAGGCAGTGAGCCCAACAAAAGGGGTTGCTTTCAGGGCATGGCCTCTACCGACCCGTTGAATCCCAGCAAAAACTCCTTCGGCTGCTTCCCTCCCGCCCCCGCCGACGCATCCGGCGATCCGTCGGATCGACTCGGCGCGCCTTCCCGGCCGTCGGAGCGCTCCATGGGGAGGTTCCAGTCCTTGGCTGGAACTGGGACCCCAGCAACAAAAAAATATGTTTCAACATGTTTTTTTGTTTGGCCTGGTTTGTGGAAAACCAAGGGGACCCCAAAAAGGCAAAAGAACAAAACACAAAAAGGGGCCACGAATTCTGGGGAAGAGTCCACCTCCGCCCAGGGCCAATGGAGCACCTGGACAAACCGGACGCATCCATTTCTCGGATCGATCCGGAAGGGGGGTTCGGAAGCGGGGGAGAAGGGTTGGTCTCCTGGCGGCGAGAGGAAGCCCCTCACACCAAGTGTACTTTGCCCCCCCCAGATTTTTGGTTCTGCTTCTGTTTTTTGGTTCTTGGGGGGGGGGGGGGGCTAAAAAAACATGGTGGGTACTTTTGTTAGGGGAAACCCAAAGAGAAACCACAGATGAAAAAAAGGTTCTTAATTTGACACACAGCTCAAGATGGGTGTCTCTTACAAATTGAAGGCCCAAGCAGGCAACAATCTTGTTGGGGTACCATTTTGAGTACAAGCAAGCTACAAGAAAATCCACGTGGTATGGAAACAACAGTACTGATGGGGGTCCGCGGCGGGTCCCTGGATTAGCTCAAACCTGCGCTAGGGTTGGCGGGTAGGGAAATTTCAGGAAGGGTTTGGGGTTTGAAGTTTCGGGGAACTGGAATGGATCTAAAACAATGGGGAACCCAAAGGAAACCAACTATTTTCAGGTCAGATGCTGAGACAAAGCCATATGTGGGTGTCCCAGTATTGGTTGGAAGGTTTAGGAGTTAAGTTCATTGGTGCAAGGAACACAACACAGCAACTGCAACAAAGCAAAGTCACGGCGTTTCGTGAAGCTGTTGAACCCCCAAATGATCACTGGCAATGTGTTCGTGTATCACCAAAGCCTTGTTTGAGGATAGTCATTTACGCCCGAAGGCTCCAAAACGTATACCATCTTTGTTCCCCAACCAGTACATTGTCCAATTGGGGGGTCGAATTGCTCGGTCAAATGGGGCAACACCCTTGGGCAAGCTGTGACTAACCATCCGAAAGAAAAAAAAACAAAAACAAGTTAACAAAAAAAAAGAAAACAACATAATAACGTGGCCACTGCAGGGGGACCAGCAAGACAATGTGTAAACAATGGGTGTTTCATCTTTCAAGGGCTTGGCCGCCTGTTCAGTCCTGCAAGCTCTGGTTTGCACTGCCTCAAAGAGCAGGGCCAGCACTACGGCCATGGGAAACCACACCTGAGTGGCAGTGTCACAATCTACGCAGTGCCCAATTTGGGCCAGGGAACTCCTTGACTATCATTGACCTGAAATCAGTGAACCGGGACCCTATATAGACTCGAGGGCTTTGCTTATTTGCGGAGGCAGGCAGCAAGAAATCTAGGGGTAGGAGTCCTGCATAAACCTTCAAACCTTTAGATTTTCAGATCACGAAGATCTTGCGGAACGCTTGCCTGCAAACGTGACACTTCTGGGCTGCGGATCCGTCTGAGCTCATTCTCAGCGGATTGACCGCAAACCAAATTATCACTGACCGAGGGGCATATGTCAAGGTGCTCATCGCATGGCGTTCCTTCTCCGCAGCACGAAGGGACTCGGGCGTCTCGTGCCCTCGGTTGGCGGAATCACACGGACATGTGGGTGTGTCCCGTTGTTGGGGTCGTTTTTTTAAAGGGAAAACCAAAGGGTAGACCAAAGGGAAACTACTGTGGGCGTTCCCTGAAGAAAGACAGGCCATGTCTTGGTTGAATCGTGGTTAGCACGTATTGGATATCTTCTTCGGGACCGTGTGATCCGTGTCTCCGTTGACCAATGCCATGTTCGCAAAGGCGAGAAATTGGATTTCCTAACTCTTGTAAGTCGACCAATGAAGCACAATTGCAAATTGTTGCAGGCTTTCCCTTGTTGCCTTCCAGTATTTGCGGGTGTCCTTAAACACCAAGAAACCCCACCCCAAAAAAAAACAAAACAAAAAAGAGAGCTAGCTTTCGTGAAGAAACAAATTGGTTTCATCTCGATTGCCCCTTAAACACACTCCAAACCGAGGTCCCCCAATTTTTGGGCGCTCACATCCGAGGTGCCACTTTGGTTCCCTGTCCTGGGGGGGGCAAGGTTCTCTTCCAACATGACCTGTCAGGTCGACAGGCGAGAGGTAGGGCAGCTCAAGTCAGAGAGAGAGAGAGAGAAAGAGAGAAAAAACGAAAGAGCAAAAGAGAGAGAGAGAGAGAGAGAGAGAGAGAGAGGAAGGGAGGGACAAAAGGTGAGGGGTCAAACGCAAGTGTAGAACTCTAAGCCAACAGGGGGCGTCCTCTGTTTCCTGGAGAAGGGGGGCACGTCAAGCCGTCATGTGGTGGGCGGGCAAAACAGCTGGTATCAGTGTTGTTCTGACGCTGGCACAGATAGTTTCGACGCTGGCACAGATAGTAAATGCCTCATGCAAAGGCAAACGAAAGAATCGCAACCCAAATTCCTGCCCCTGGGTTGGGTTAAAAAAGTGTCACTAGGTCGGCGCAACTTTGGGCACAGAGCTTCTGCGCATTCAAAGCGGGTGGGTGAGATCTACAGTTTGTTGACATGGCCGGCTCCTATTCTTGGGCAATCCGGCGCCCAAAGTACCCCTGTTGCAACTGCAGAGCCGGCACAGTTTGCAGCCGGCAAATATGTTCAAGCACTCGACGCTGATGTCCAAGTAGGACGTTCCAGGAACCTACTCCAGAGCACGTCCTCAGCAACCCTAGCATCGGCAGCATGACTTTTCAAGCGCAATGCGTGAATTTCATTGAATGCTAAGCGTTGCAAAAGAGCACCCGTCTTTCTTCCAATTGATCAGAAAAGCCGCCCGCAAAAAGTCTCCTGTGCTCTTCAATGATTGTTGGCGGGAGCTCAATGTTGCTGCCACTGCACCTCTGCTCTTGGCCACTGGGGGAGGCTTCTTGCGAGCTCCACTATGCACAGAATTATGTCTTTCCTTTTGGTACTTGCTGCTTCGCAAACTGTGGACCCCTCAAGGTGGTCAGACTCCCTGTGGCTTCCCTTCAAATACGTGCAGTTGGTCAATATTTCTGCTTCTAGAAAATGCCATCTTCGCGAAAAAAGCACCTCTTCGCAGCAGCAGCGTTAAACGAAGGCAGTCACTACCATCTGCCCTTGCCAAGCGTTTCGCCGGTCTTTTGCGGATCTTTCGCGAAACTTGCTCCACAATAGCCCGCCAATGTTTTGGTTTGCATCATTCCCAACACAGGCAGGCAATCAATAGTGCAAGCAAAAATGCTGCGCATCTCCCTGTCTACAAGGGATTGGGGTCTGCAAATATGCAAGTGCACAGGCATGCTCTCCAAGAACACAACACGGCGTCTGTCGCAAAGAATACATTCTCTTTCGCAAACTGCATTGCCCATCTTTCGCCCAGGGATATAAACCAACACCAATGGTCCCTGAATACGCAACTCCCTTCAAAGACCTTTGAACCAACCCGCACAAACCCAGTCTAAGGGCTTCCCAACCTTGAGGATGTAAAGCCGATGCCAGAATGTCGAGGTGAGAGTAGCTTGATATAGCTTGCTTGACTTAGCGGGCTGGTTGCTGGGCATGGTCAAGCATGGTCTTCCATGATTGCAGTCATAGTCATTGAAGCAAAGGAACAAATGCCCGAGCACGACCACTCTTCTATCAAGAATGTCTGGCCATCGCACTCCCCTTACACGCGGTGCCCTTCCACAAGTGTCTTGATGTGACACCTTTCGTTCCCCATTCAACCGCCCCAGAAATGGTACCAACCCACCGCGATCCATCAGCGGCCTCACTTCTCGTCTCATTCGAGCCTGGCAGGCGCTCGCGACTCGCGACTCGCGGGCTGGAGCTATTCGAGGGAGCATTGGCGGCTTAGGGAAACCGAAGCAACCCACCTGGGGCTCCCCTGTTTCGAGACATCTAGGTTTAAACTTTGAAGTATTCCAGCCTGAATTAAGGGGCCCACAAGTAAGGGACCTTCATTTTGGGTGAGGCCGCAATATCCAAAACTACGGTGACGTGCGGTTTCCACAGAATTGGATCCGGCCCGAAGCTGTCTCTTTCAAGAAAACCACAAGGCAGCGAGGTAAATTGATCCCAGGCGCGACTCTCACATACCAAAAGACCTCTCGAACACTTCGATAGGGGGTCTGGTAAAAGTAGTCATTCCCACCCCCCTTTGGTCTCCGGTGGCACCCAGTGACCCTCTGCATGTAGGCTTTGGAGCGGTGCCCCGCCTCCATTTCGCCGCAGAAGAGGTTCCCCTGAAAGGGCGAAAGACTCTCATGTGGTCGTCGGTTTTGGGTTGAATATACCAACTATTCGGGATGACCCGCTGCATTGTAAATCAAGGCGGGGGGGGGGGGCTTTGCTTCGCTCGGTGCAGTCTGCAGATCCTGCAGCGGCCAATGGGCTTGCTGAAAACAGGGGCCTTTTGCGACCTTGGTGTTATGTTGAGTCGCTTTCCAAAGGAGTTTCCAAAAGGGTCCGTGATTTGGCCAACCCGCCACGGAATCCCAGCATAGTGCGCAACGTTTTGGCGTTAGTTCGCCAACCTTAGGGGATGGCTATCGCAGCAAACCTCAGCCATGGCGGAGAATTTGTGGCGGCATTTTATAGGAAGAAACCCCAAAGGGTGAATCGCCATAATTTGGCTAATACAACTTACTACAAGAGGTTTAGTGATTCGCCAAATTTGCCTAATACGGCTTACTACAAGAGGTTTAGTCAATCGCCTGCAGCTTACCACAAGAGTTGGTGATTCGCCATGATTTGGCTTTTACAGCGGTACTACGAGAGGTTAGAAAGTGAGTGGCCAACGCAGCCTGCTACAACAGGTTAAGAGAAATCGCCAGATTTTGTCTACAGCTTTGACGCGTTCTACAAGAAAGATTGCGGATCACAATTCCCTGTTCCCTAGAACAGATTCACCCAGGTGTTGTATCGTATTAAAACCATCCGCTCAAGGGTTCTTTGGAAATGCCACTGCTACTTTGTGCAGTGGTTAAAACAACCAACGGTTTATAGCACTGGTGGCCTCCCAATCCACATCCATCACCCTAACCAGCGTTCATTCATGGGTCATCTCACCTCCAACAAACATGTTCGTTGCTTGTCTTGGCAATTCACCAAGCATGGCGTACAGATGGAAGGGTTCAGCCTTCCAGGTTGTCAGAAGCAACCCTCGGATGCGGTCCAGGCCGCAAAGTTCGGGAGAGTGGAACCCATGAACTGCTAAGCCCCGCTGAACCGTCCATGAGCCTCTGAACCTCGGGGGTGAACCATAGCAGTTCAAACATAGTGCAAGGCTTTTCCCGCGAGATTCCACGTTTCGCCTAAGCAAGCAGATTCACCGGCTATGTTGTCATATGCAACTCCCATGGTATCGATGGCACTCGGGAATTACAGCCTGAAGAGGGTGTGGGTAGAAGGTAGACCGGTAGACCAAGTAGAAACCAACAAAACTGGCAACTACATGCAGAAGGAAGCAAGCCACAATCACGGACTCTATGTTGGACCCGTATTTTTGACAATGTCCCACGATGTGCTTGCTGGGGAGTGGCCATGGGACACAAGGAACCTTTTTGCTTGGACCATGTTCAACCCCAAAGGTTTTGAATCTTTCCAGCAACATAACTCTCAGTACATGGCAAAGATGTTGGATGCCCCCAAAGGTTAGCCCAGTTTGGGATACGCCAAATGTTTTGAGATCGAAGAACGCCCGGGTCCCAAGGCTCGAAATGGAAAAAGCCGAGCCACTTGGAGATGCATCGCGGGCCAACCTGAGCAGACAAGTCCAACGTATCTGAACCCTCCCCAGTTGCAAGGACTTGTAGCTCACTCCGCACGTGGGAACCTGAAACAGGGAAAACAACGGCAACAAGTTCGACTGGGTTGTTCAAAATGGAGGATCCACAATCTTTGCTCCAAAATGGGACACCATGCGGAGTGACTTTGAGCCACCCAGCAAAGTGGTTAATAAGCCCCATATAACCCCAGCGATTTCATCATTAGGCCCCTCTAAACCCTTGTAAGTAGGGCACTATTCTGAACAACAAGTTTAGAAGGTCGGCTTTGGGCACGTGACTTTTGGATCTGCTTGCCGGGGCACTGCAGTGCGCCCTGCGCGTCCACCGCGATGTGGACGTTGTGCCCGGACGCGCGGATCCTCGGGGTTTCCCCGCTTTGGAGAATCGCGCGGCTTCGAAGCGCCGGACACCGGGGGAAATTTCCAGCGCCAGTGTGTTTCAACAGAGTGGGTTTCAGAAGATTCAGCAACATGGGATTTTAGACTCTCTTTCGTTTTGCTTTCCTGATTTCGTGCCTTTCGAATGGCGTGTCGGGTTGCATGGCCGACTGCGAATCGGGGGAACCAAACACGGGCAATGTACATTTTGTCAAAGGGGGACAGCACAAATGGTGGTCTTCCTTTTCGCTTCCCTTCGAACCAAGGGAAACACAAAGGTGCCCGCAACAAACGCATACACAAACATCCTAGAAAGCAGTGTCAATGCAGGGAAGCGCGACCAAAGGGGTTGTGGCAGCTTAGTCGTAGAACGATTTGAGCCGCAGTCAAGACTTACTACCGTACTTTTTCATGGGGCATTTATGGGGGGAGTCCCCTGTTTTCTGTAAGAACTACCGCAAAGGGTGAGCCCCAAACACCAACCATGTTTGACTGACTGGCTGCCTGGCTGGCTGGCTGAATGCATGAAGGAACGAAGGAAAGCGGAAGGAAGGACAGAAGGAAGGAGGGAAGGAAGGAAGGAAGGAAGGAAGGGAGGGAGGGAGGGAAGAAAGGAAGTAGAAACAAGGAAGCGAGCAAGGCAGAAAACTGTTCATGTCTGCCAAGTATCGCCCAGAGCACGCACAGATAAATGCGCATGGTCGCGCCTCAAGCGCTGTCCAAGCATGATGCTGCTTACTTGCACAAGATCGATGTGGCAGCCGCTCCAGCAAACTGCTCGAGGCGTGTTCTCATCTATTGAATAAATCGCTTGTGAAGGTGTCGTGAAGATAGAAGGGTTCCACTTTTTGGCTACCCCAAGATAGACTTAAACTGAGGGGTTCTCCTTTGGGGAGAATGAAGCCACCCCTGGGCTTAAGCCTACTCTGGGGTAGTCAAAGAGTAGAACCGCGGAAGACAACATAACATCAGCTTTGGATAGTTCGTCCCTCAAATGCTTGCGTTGGACACAATTCTTCAGTTCAGTCGGCTCCATCAGACCTGCGCAATCTCATTTCTCATCCTTTTGCCCGCACACAAACCGCTGAGATCTTATGGAACAAAACCAGGAAAAGGGGTTGTGCGAGAGCTTTAGTCATACGCTTCACCAATCTGGCGGGCAACTTCACCGGGAGATAACAAGATGGTAAGCACCATGGCGCAGAAAAAGAAATCATGACCCAATTCTTTCTTTTTGGTAATGACCAACTGACCAACCATTTTCTTTAGGGTCATGGAGAGTCTAGGTAGCTCGACATCTTTGTAAGCCTGTGTCTTTTTTTGGCGTCCAGGCTTCCGGGTGCGGAATTGAAATTTGCATGGCATTTTCGAGTGAAACAGAAACCAAATGGGTGCCCAAATGCTTTGAGGTTCCCCGATTCGTCCGATTCGGAGACATGCTATGATGCTAAGGACAGTGCACCAACCTTGCAACAAACAAGAGGCATCTAGATTTATCAGGGATGTGCACAGCATTTGACGGCCAGGCATGAATAACTATAGTCTCTGATCATGCTTTGCGCAGGCTTGACGGGAGTCACTGCATCAAATAGTTGGGCAATAAATCAGCCCGAACCACGTCTCACTTTCTCAGACGAAGAACAGTCGGCTGATCTTTGTGCATATATTTGCAATGCTCTCAGGGTAAACACCCCATCATTTCGGCTGCAACAAAACCAGCAAAGCCGCGCGCAGCAATCCTCAGATGCACCCTTGGAAACACGGAAGCCACCAGGCACCGCTTGGAAGAGACAGCCATGAAAGTCCAGAGACGTCGCACTCCAATTTCCCAGGCCACTTCTGGATCTGGATGCAAGGGTTGGTGTGGGAATTGTGCCGCGCGCCCGTACCAAGCTATCATATATCCAACTGACAGGGTTGACTAAGTGATGCCCCCTTGAAAGACGAAAGAACTAAGCCAGATGCAACTGGAATGCGCTTGAACATCCGCGTTGAAACTCGAATTTCGTTTCCACAGCTCAACATGTCCCTTTTTTCATAATATGTTCAAAACCTCCGCATCTGCGAGTAGGGAACCACCTGCACGGGTTCCCAACCAAACCATTTCAGGGGGGGCCGTTCATGATGACCCAAAGTCAAAAGGTCTTTCGATCATCGGAATTGTGTCCAAAGGACTGCGTGCCACGAAACCTGTCGAGGGGAAGCTTCAATGGCCGTAGGAACAATGGGCACCCTGTGTTTTAAGATACTTGACTTTGACGGGAATTGCGGAAAGACACGGGGCCTTGGTGGCTGCTCGCTAGTCCCATCGGATCGAGGGCCGCACACCCTGACCACGACTCCGGTGGCAGGGACCCGCCGATTGGCGGGCCTAGGCCTGAGAACTAAACCTGCGGATGCCAGTGCCACCAGACGCTGAGAAACAAAGCACGACAGGAAACGAGAAACAACACCCAAGGTCTCCAGTTTTGGACTCTAACTTGGTTGGTTGGTGGACTCTAACTAGGTCCTCCAGTTTTGAGAGGTTAGAATAAGTTGGTACCAACTCTTTGCTTTTTTGTCTATTTCAGTAAAATAACCCTCCCCCAAACAAGGGGAGAGAAGGGCACTACTGGGGGACCTAGCACCGGGAACGCCACGAAACAACACAAGCCAAAGAAAACATACGCAGCAAGAAGCAAGGCAAAGAAGAAACAAACAACAATTGAATCAGCCCCGGACCCCATGATGTTTTTAGCTCCCAGCTACGGCACAAGCAGGGCCGTGGATGAGGCAATGGATGCTTCCTGCAAACATGCTGTATCACGAACACCTTTTGAGCCACATTACCGTACTAGACTCAAAGAGTGTACCCAAAGCTTGGTACCACGAGTCTACCCTGAAGTCTACTCAATGGCGTGTCAGGGTCTAAAGCAGCCGCCTGTGTATGGTCGGGGCTGAGCCCCCACCCCGCTCTCCACTTGCCCGACTTAACTTCTTGATGCCTCATTGGAGCCTACCTGGGTTCGTGGTCCATCAAAAAACATACGACCGCCCCTCCCGGACGCTTTTCCTTCCACCAAACACCTGCGCAAAAGTTCCGCCAGGTCCCAGCTGTGGGTTGAGGGCAGATCGTGGTGTGCGGAGTCCAACAAGTGCCGCCAAGACCGGGCAGCCAGCTCCGCAGCGAGGCCCAGGCCACGTGCCACACGCGCCCAAGGTGCCCCACGCGCCTCACGCGCTCTTTGAAGCGCATGCGCAGGCACCAAAGGCGCTGCCACATGAAGCTCGGCTGCTGGAAACAGCGACGGCCAGGGAGAGGGCGTGCGCGCGTCCAAGGCTACGAGGCCCCGCACGTCCACGCCGCAGACTCGGAGCTGCTGCGCCAGGCACCGGGCCACGGCGCAGCCCAGGCTGTGACCGCAAAGCACCACGCAGCGACCCAACGTCGGGCTCAGCTCGCCACGCTGGCGAACGCCGGCGTGCAACCAGCTCCGAGCAGCTCGTCCACCGGCCAGAGGCGGGCCACCGGCCCGGTATGCAGCTGCTCCAGCTCAAGGAATTCGTCTGTGGCCAGCCGCGCCAGGCCACGCACGAGCACCAGCGTCGGCTCGGCCGTGGAGACCTCCAGCCCAGTCACCCGTCTTCATGCAGTTCAGCGCCGGAAGGGGACGCGTAAGAAGCACAAGGCGTCACGGAGGCCTCGACCTGCAGGCACGTTGCGAGAACAATCCTTCAGCCGCAATCATGAGGGTTGCGCCGGACGCACGGCAATACCTGCCTTCACTGCTACGTGTGTCACACGCGCCCGGTATGATATACTACGGCTTAGGCAGGCTGCTCTCAAGTGCGGGACGGCGCAGGCACCAGGACACTTTGCAAGTGTTGAAGCTAAGTACAAGCGAGTGACATCGTTGCCACAAGACTGGCATCGTTGCCACAAGCCATGGACGTGCATTCAAGCAGCACCGCTCGCAGGTGTTTGAGCATCTTGGTCTTGAACATTGAGTTCGTGGTCTCCTCCGCATATGTCACACATGAGCGCAGCCAGTCTGCCAGCAGGCTCTGTGCTTGAAAGTGGAAGGAAAGGGCGCAAGTGCTAGCACAGTGTTGGTCGTTCCCGCGTTTGCATTTGCGGCAGCGGCAAAGCAAAACCCCACGCGCAGCATCAACAGAGATCGTAGGGCGTGCAGGCAAACAGCTTGACAGCCCCCTGCCAAAAGCAGCAAGGGACGCCAGTGTCCCCACGCACATTGTGAACACAACCTCTCAGCCACGATCACGCGTGTTGCAACATGTGCATCGTGATACCAGCATTTCTTGTCACCGGCGCCACATACATCGGGTGTGAGAGTGGCCTGAGCGGGACTGCACGACCTACACACCCTGCTTTCAAACTCTTCACTGCGTGGGCACGAACACACTTTGCCACAGAGTGGCGGCTAGGTATTGCAGCATTGATGCACGCGCTCATTTTCAAAGGCAAAAAACAGTAACTCAGCATGGAACACAAAACTTCCAGCAAAGGCTGTGGCTAGATTCGGGCAACACCGCCCACGCACAGTTTACAAGCTTACTGTTGCCTCGCCCAGGATGAAAAGGGCTCCGCGTAGCACACACGAGCGCAGCCAGTCTGGCAGCGTGTTTCACAAAGGAAAGGAAAGGCGCAAGTAAAAGCGGAGCGCTGGTCGTTCGCGCGCTAGTAGTTGCAGAGTCCTACACACGCCCTGGAAGATTGACGGGACATCAACAGTCGCCTGGCTTTCCTGGGAAGCTCAACATGGATGGAACTTGCACCATGGGAGCACACAACGAGCAACCACGCAATGTAAGTGACTTAAAATTGGTTGACTTGAGTTGGCCTCATACCAAACCAGAACAACAAGCCAAGCACTCTGAGCGCACACCGAACCGTGTTATCGGCACCCAAGGCGTTGCTGAATTCATTTGCAATGCTTGCCAAACTGAATGGGCAGCAAGGCATGGACAATATTTGCTCAGGACCTCTCATAACAATTCGGAATGAGCAAAACTATTCCCGTCAGCAACCCCGCGCAGCTGTGCGGCTTAGGACATGCGGCGGTTGATACTGGCCCCCGGCAAGTTATCCATGGCTTGGATGCGACATGCCCAGGCACCGTGCGATACGATTGATTGAAATGGACCGCTGCTCAACTGGATCATTGCCAATGGCCGTACTTGCCATCGCAAGACATATCCACACGTCAAGACCCTAGAGCAAATGCCCACCACACAGCGTGTATGCTGATTTGAGTCTCTGCCTTTTGCTCAGCGCCAAGGGTCCTAAACGCAGAAGGCATGCTACTCATGCCCACTCAGCGCTAATCGCCCTGCGGCGCGAGATCCTGCTTGCAAGTATTCAGGGTACATGAACAACCTTGGGTCCCAATCAAACCGTGACGGGTAAGGCTCTCTTGCTTTTAAAACAAGAAGGACTTGCATGCCTCCCTGAGCAGCTGCATGACTGAAAAAGTGAAAAGTAATCTAGACTTTGAGTTGCGAGCACTGCGGGTTGAAAGAAGAGCACAAGTTGACACCATCAGGAGGCTTCTGCAAAGTGCCTGGAAAGGCTTCTGCGAAGGCAAACATAGAAGTGAGAGGAGGCCACAGGGCAGCACGGAGTGGTTGCAAAGGCTGCTTCCCTAACTCCCGCAGGCTGACACCTCTTACCGTGACCCGAACCCGCATTGGAAGTGGGCAAGCTGCACAGCGAGAAGGCGGGGCTCAATTATGCGCTTCCCCGCTGAACGTCAACTGACAGTTTGGCGGGAACGGCAGGGGAAAATAACGTTTTAAGAAAGGTGTGTGGCCAGCCGCGCCAGGCCACCCACGAGCACCAGCGTCGGCTCTGCCGCTGAGACCTCCAGCCCCGTCACTCGTTTTCATACAAGTCAGCGCCGGAGGGGGTCGCGTAAGAAGCACAAGGCATCACGGAAGGCCTCGACCCGTGTCCCCTACGCAGGTTGAGAGAACAATCCTTCAGCCACAATCACGAAGGTTGCGCCGGACGCACGGCGATGCCTGCCTTGACTGCCAACTTGACTGTCACAGGTGTGACGCGCGCCCCGTTCGCGTCACGCAGGCTGCTCTCAAGTTCGTGACTGCGCAGGCACCAGAACACTCTGCAAGTGCGTAAAGCTAACAGCAGGCGACTGACATCGTTGCCACAGAGCCTGGCATCGTTGCCACACGCCACGGAAGTGCATTCAATCAGCACTGCTTGTGGGTGGTGGAGCATCTTGATCTTGAGCATCGAGGATGCGGACTCCTCCGCGCATATCACACACGGGCCCAGCCAGTCTGCCAGCAGGCTCTGTGCTTAGTGGAAGGAAAGGGCGCACGTGCTAGCACGGTCGTTGCCGCGTTGGCGTTGGCGGCGGCAAAGCACAACTGGTGGTCAATGTGTTTGGGCCACGCAGGCCGGCAGTCTGACAAGACTTTTCCAACAGGCAGCAGGGGACACAGGAATCGGGCTGCAATGGCTCCAGAAGATTGGCCGGAAATCAGCAGTCAGCGTTAGGACGATACTCCGCCTGGCTTTCCTGGGTATGCCTGGAAGCTCAACATGGAGCTTGGGACTGAAAGCATGGGAGCACACAACGAGCAACCAAGCAAGGTATGTGACTTGGAATTGGTTGACTTGAGTTGACCTATGCCAAACCAGCACAACACGCCAAGCACTCTGAGCGCACAAGGAGCCGTGCTATCGGCATCCAGGCCGTTGCAGACTTAATTTGCAATGCTTGCCAAACTGACTGGGCAGGACGACATGGATAACAATCACTCAAAACCTCTCATAATCGTTCGATATAAACAAAACAGATCCCCTCACCAACTGCACACTGCCATGCGGCTTAGAACATGCGGCAGTTGACCCCCAGCAGAACACAAGTTACGCATGTGTGTGTCGTCAGGAGGCTTCTTCAAAGTGCCTGGAAAGGCTTGCGCGCAGGCAACAGCGGAAACCGTGCTTTTACAAGGGCGTAAAGTTACAAATGTCGGACCGTGCTTGTCAAGAGTTTCGGTGCGTTTGCGGAGAAGATTCCAGGACTGACTTTTCAATAGGGTAGGTGCAACAAAAGAAGGGTAGGTGCAACAAAAGGCACGTCTTGCATTGCCCTCTCAACACCCGGTGGGGTACCCCTGCTCGTATTCATGGTATTACCTCCCCTCAAGCCAGTTCCGGTGTGTCCTTGGAAGGGGGGCATCAATCTTGCACTCACTTGCGGGCAGGTATTGCAGCAGGTACCACCCCTGCGGATTCCACTGCGGATCGCATATTCCAAGCAGACATCATGGACTGAAACCCTCCGCCGCGAAAGAAGCCCTCCGGCTCAAACCCCCCGCACCCCCCTCTCAATGTTGGCGGCACGATGGACTCAATCGTAGCGGCGATTCCAACGAGCAAGGGCTCAACTCCCTCTCAAATCAAATTTTGGAGTGGGTAGGCATGCGCTTGCCGTCTTCCTGCGGTGAATTACACGGAGCATTCTCGTGGAATCTATTGTCAGGTGGGGGTTGTGCCAAATTACTTTTCTTGAAAACTGCCCTTCCGCCGCCCTTCCGCAAACCTTCCGCGCACGTCCGCGCCCATTGTAAATCTACAAACAAGTTATCACTGGTTTTCGGTCAACGTTTTCGGTTAAAGGCCCTTTCGCATCTCTTCCGCCACCCTCATGCCATGTAAGCGTTCCGTGTGAAGTCCACAGAAGGACTGCATCCGTCAAACTTGTACAAGCTCGTTTGATCCTTTCTTGTCGGTTCATGTGAGCAGCGATGCCGATGTTAACGGGGCAGTTGCCGCTACACTTTGCACAACTCAAAGACCATGTCTGGTGGCGCTCCGCCTCTAGTTTGACTCACAATTATCGCTTCCTATCGCTTCTTGCCATGGGCAAATTGTGACGTGTCTAGCGTCTTCCTGCTCCAATGATGCGGCAATTCCATGATTGCATTGTTGTGTTTCCTTCGAACAGTTAGAAAGCTACCGCCAGGAACTCCAGCTAGAACATGCAGTGCTAGCGTGAGCCTAGCACCTACCTAGCACTGCCACGCAAACTCATGGATTTCTGGTGGGGGCCCTCCCGTCTTGCAAAAACACTGGCACACAGCTCCAAAATGGCAAATGCCCCTTGGCCAGTTTTTGGTCACAATGACTTTCCAGGCGCGGCCCAAGATTGAGATCACTCGGGGGGAGGCGTCGCAGCAAGTCTCCCCCTTAATTGCATATTCCAAAATAGCTCAAACAACTTATGAAACAGCCATAATTACTTGCATTTACAAGGGGGTACCAACATACTGAACGTGGAAGGCAAGGTGATGCCCGCGCAAGGATTGATGGGTATCACCTCCGGAATTCCACCTATGGAGTTCGTCTGACACAACCTGCGGAGTCATCACAAATTGCACAAGGGCAAGAGCTGCTTCGACGTCTCCATCAAATCGAAGCTTTGCTGGAAAGTATACAGGCCAGGCTAAAGTCACCAATCAACTGACTGTGGGTCGCTAAAAAACACGGCTCATGAAAAGGAGAGCCGGTCTGGGGGCCCGGCAAACTCAAGGCGGTGCAGCTTGATGCCAGCCCCTGCTCTTCATGTCAACCCCTTGGGCCAAAAAAAGTGCCCTGCCCAATGATGCAGCCAAGCCAAAGTACACAATGCCAAACTTTTCTCTTGGCGGTGGAAATAGCAATTTTCATCACTGTACACTCCCTCCTTGCCAGCATGCTGATTTCCTTCCTCAGCCTTGCCATCTGGTTCTCACACCAAGGATGGACTAATCTGACTCGTGGAGATTCGTGAAAATGCGAGAATGGAGGCGTCAAGGAGCGGCTCCAGGGGCTCTCTTTTTTTCCGGGAGTGTGAAGCGTTGTTCTGGGTGCTAAAACTCCCCCGAAACATGATTTCTCAAGTGCTGTTGGAACACTTCCAATCGCCCTGGACAGCGCATGTTGAGCCGGCAGTCCTTGTGTTGTGCTCTTACAAGCGAAGACACAACAAAAAGTGCCCAAGCCCAAGGCAGTGGCATCTGTGGCCCGGTTTGTGATTTGAACTAAAGAGCATCATTTGCATCGAGCTCCTTCCCTACAATCCACTCTAAGCTGCCAGCTTCGGAACCGTGGAACTCCCCGGCTTCGGGCAATCGGCTTGCCTCAGAAGCTCCGGGAAAGCGACTCTGGCATAGTCTATGGAATTGCATAGTCTGTGGAATTGCAGAACTTTGCCTAACGCGCT